CCGCCATCCTGCTGGACGCCATCACCGACAAGGACCCTCTGGTGCGGGAGCAGGTGTGCGGCGCCCTGTGCGCCCTTGGAGAGGCACAGCCTGAGGAAGCCCTCAGCGCCTGCGAGGAGTACCTGTGGCAGCATGAGAAGGTATTCCCTGCCCGGGGCCACAGGCTGGCTGGGGAGGTGAGCTGCCCTTCTGTGGGGCGGGGCCTGTAGGTGAGCATGGGTCTGGAGCTGGGAGCCAGTTGCTGTGGGCAGAGGCCACACCTGCAAGTCCAGCTTCCCTTGAGATGGGGCATTGCCAGGACGGAAGAGCCGCCTTGTCTTGTGTCCGGCGGCTCGGTCCGCGTGGGGGCACTTGGTGGGGTGGCTCGGCGTCCAGCTGTCACGCACGGAGGCTGTGTTGCTGTCCCCATTCACCCCCTGGCCAGGGACCGGACAGCTCTCCCTGCCGGGGTCTGTGCTGTCCCCCAGGGAGAGAAGGCCCCTCGTCATCAGCTACGGTAAGAGGAGCAGGTGGGCCAGCGCTCAGAGGTAGGGGCGCAAGGGGTGGCTGCCCGAGGAGGGGGGCCTTTCCCTCACTGCCCTCCCGCTGACGGCCGCCGCGGCAGCCTCCTGGGGCTTGTGCCCGGTGGGGGGGGCCTGCCGGGCCGTCGGAGAGCTGTCCTCTGAAATCATTGTGTGCCATCTCTCGTTTTTCTGTGTGTGGTGTGGGCCCTTCCGGGAAGGGAAAGAGACTTTTGCAGCCTCCAGAGACCATTTTTCTCTTTGTTTGATTTGACACCTTGATATGGAAAAAGGGATCTCTGTATAACGGGAGTTAACTCGCTCTCATGTGTCAACTGCCATCTCCTGGGGACACAGGTCAGTCCCACCGAGCGGCCCCTGAGCCGATTGCTCCTGGGCTTCTGTGTTTGCGTCGGAGCACTAGGACTGCTGAGGGCACTGGGATTGGAGACGCGCCGTTCGTGGCGCGGGAATGCACGCTTGGGCACCGTGTGAGTCCACCGCGTGTGTCCACCGTGGCTCGTCTGTGGCTTTGAAGAGCTTCGCGCTGCTTCTCTGTGTGGCTGAGGGGCTCCCTCCGTGATGCGCTGAATCGCTGTCTGACGTGACCGCTGACTGGGGCCGCCCTGACCGCTTGAGGAGCCGGCACCGGCCAAAGGGCGCTTACTGAAGGCGGCTACGGGAGCCTTTGTTAGTTTTAGCGATTCGTTGCAAAATTTAAGCGTGCTTCCCGCTTGTCATTTTCTAACTCATTTATAATTTTACTCCTCTTCTAGGCTTTTTGGTTTCTTTAACCAATTTAAACATCTTCCTTCACATTTGCATATTTGCGGTAAAAGTACCTTTAAGCGAGAAGCTCTGTCCTGCCGACAGTGTGCCCCCCTCCAGGCGCCTCCCTCTGCCCTAAGGCCGCCCACATCCATCACAGCCATACTTTATGGGGCCGTGCCTCGGGCGCTGTGCACGTTTCCCAGCCCGTCGACTCTCCCCGGAGGGAGCGTGGGCTGCGCACACAGGGGCGCTCAGGCCGGTGGGTGGGAAGTGACTGAGGGAACAGAGGCAAAAATAGCCGTCCTGGCCTGTCAGGCTTACTCCAGCAAGAGCAAGCTTGTACTTGTCCCAGTTCCGGAGGCCGGGAGTCCAAGGTCCCCGTGCTGGCAACTTCCGTGTGTGGCAGGGACCCACTTCTTGGTGCAGAGACCGCCTTCTCACTGTGTCCTCACACGGCAGGGGGCAGGCCGGGGCTTTCTGGGGTCTCTTTAGAAGGCTCTAGTCCCACCCATGGGGCTCCACCCTCGTGACCTACTCACCTCCCGAGACCCCGCCTCCCACTTTGATCACTTGGGGTGAGGTTCCCACACAGGAATTTCGGGGGCTGCAGTCTCTCACAGTAGTGAAGTCAGTGCGTGTGGTGAGCGCCGGCTCCCAGCTAAGGCCCTGACCCGAGTGTGCAAAGCTGCCCACCTGAGTAGACTCGAACTGTACCCAGCAGGATAGCTCAGCACCAGAGGAAACTCGCCGCACGCACTGGCACTGCCCGTGGCCAAGGCCCGGCCTACACACGGCCTGGGCGTCCGGTTAGTCTCTGCAGTGGTGGGGGGCAGGGCAGAATGACGGGTCCACGGCAGCCCGCCACACCTCAGCCTGTTGAGCGGGAACTCTCACACACACCCACTCCGGGCCTGCGTTGGCCATCAGCGAGCCCAGTGCCCTGTCCCTCGTCTGTCCCCGCTCAGTTCCTGCTGCGCTCAGATGACAGGGCTGTGGTTTTATCACCGTGCACGCAGAGCCTGCTGAGGCCCAGTGGAAAACCTCTGTCGGGGAAGCCACCGCGGCTTGCTCTGATGCGACTGGTGTTCTGCCCGTGGAACTTTTAATAGAAAACGGGGGGAAAAAACACCCACGTTTTCTTTAAAACTAAGCAGCTGTTGCAGTCCCTATTAAAATCCCAATGATGTTTTTTGCAGAAATAGTAAAAGCCATCCTAAAATTCATACGGAATCTCAATGGACCCAGAATAGCCCAAACTGTTTAAAAGGAACAAAGCTGGGGACTCACACCTCTTGACTCCAAAACCTACTACAGGGCTACTGGAGTCAAACAGGGTGGTGGAGACCGACATAGAGACAGACATGTAGACGAAGGGAATGGGATCGAGAGCCTAGGAATAAACCCTCGTGTATGTGGTCGAGTGAATTTTGACAAAATTTATTACCGAGAGAACAAAACCGAAAACTAGAGCTTTTCCCCGAAAAATGAAGGCAGATTATGTGATCTCTTCGTATATCTAGAGATGTTTAGGTGTTGGCTTTTTTCAGGAGCAGAGATCATGTCCATTTGTGGGCCTGGCTGCCTGTGGCCCCCTTGGAGGGAGCCGGTGCCCTGGCCTGAGCGGCGGCCCCATCAACTATACACCCCTGCTTTTCTTGGTTCCTCCAGCCCGAGTTGTCTTTCTTTCTTGCCACTTTGTCTTCGGTCACGCAAGCTCAATCCTGCCGCAGCGCAGGCCTGGGCACCACCTGTGGCACAGAGTGCCCGCCCTCACCTGGATGCTCCATTCCTGGGGCAGGGGAGTCCTCAGGAAAGGCCAGCCTTGGTCTTCCCCTGCGCCCTGCCAGTTTCTTGCCCTCTCCTCCAGACTCTGAGCGCCTGGGGGCTCCTGGCCGGATGGAGCCTTCCGCATGGCTTGGCTGGGCTCCCCTCCGCAGTTCTTGCATTGCAGTGGGGTGTCTGGGCTTCCTGGCCCCGCCCCCCCCGCCCCCACCTGCAGCCTTGCCATCACCACACGTCCTCAGTTAGGGCGAGGATGAGTGCCCCGGGTCGCAGCTGCGAGGTGCAGACAAGGACGATGTCTGGGCCAGCGGCAGGACTTGTGCGGGGCTCACCCAGAGCAGGGGAGAAAGGCTCGGATGGCGGCTGAGTGGGGCGCAGGGACCGGGCAGCGCCGTCATCTTCCATTTTAGTCTCAGGACCCTTGGACATATTTGTCAGCTTGGGGAGGGGTGTGACAGACGGGGCCCCCTGGGGGTGGGGAGGGTGGGGAGGGCCCCTGGGTGAGGAGAGGGCCCTCAGGTGGGAGGGCCGGCCAAGCGGTCTCCTCTGACAGGCACTCACTGGGAGCCTGAAAGATGCCTGGTGGCAGAGACCTCTGTTGTGATGGGACCTCTCGGGGCAGTGCAGCTTCTGGCCGGGAGACCCTGGCCACAGTGGGGAGGGCTGCCGTCTGCTGCTCGTGGGTCTTGCACAGAACACTCTTGGCAGTGCTGACAGTGACGTGCCCCCAGCCACTTCCCACGGTCCTTTCTTTGCGGGGCACGAAGGCTCTGGGCGCACGAGGAGTGGTCAGGCGTGCTCCGTTTCTCCTTGTTGGGGCAGCCACGGGTGATTTTATTTTGAGTAGCCCCTCTAGAGAAAGCAGGAGGCATCAGCAGGGTGCCTGGGTGCTGGGCTCCCCTTCCAGGACCTTCCTCAATGGTTTCTCTGCTCAGTTGGCACATCCTTACCGGACGATGATCCTGAGGGCCATGGAGACGGTTGTGAGCGGCCACATCAGTGAGCTGCGCAAGGACAAGGCCAGGGCCATCATCCTCCTGGCCTCCAGCGAGATGACCAGGGCGAAGGTATGGGCACACCTGTGTGGCTTGGGGAGGGAACCTCTTCACTAGAACTTTCTGCCCAAGCGCATGAAGAACGTGGTCACCCCAATGTTTGGGGTGGAAATTGAAGCAGAGAGCCAACTTCCTAAACCCCAGGGCAGATGTGAGGGTGCCCACATCACAGTGTTTGGGGGGTGGTGCTGGGCTCTGCACGGGACCTGGCCCCCCGGGCAGCACTCTTCTTTCCCTGCAGGTGGAGGTGGCAGGTGCTTGGCGCCTGCTCCTGGGCAGGGGAGGGCCTTGGGAGAGCCTGAAAACGGGGCAGAAGGCCTCCCTGTTGCCTCTTGGGCAGTTTGAGGTGAGGGCCTGGCTCCTTCGTTTGTTGAGCGCCTCAGTGCAGGTTTTGGGGCGGGGGGGACAGGAATTGGTTTGTGACTGGCAGCAGGCCGCCAGCAACGTCCTGGTGGCTGTTGGGAAGCGGTTCATCAGCCAGGTGATGGAGGAGCTGCTGAGCAAGTTCCAGCCTGGGGCCCTGCCACACTACTTCGTGGTGCAGACCCTCGCCAGCCTCGCGGCTTCCAATGGTAGGTACCGCTTGGCCCGCCTCCACCTGCATTCCAGAGCCAGTCGGGAGGCCCTCTCCAGCACGGGGCCCAGGCACCGTCTGCCTCTCCCTGGGACACGGGGGGTGGCGCGTGGAGGCCAGGCCAGGTGAGGCGGGTGCTGGCGGGGCCTCCCTCACACGCCCCCCTCACGCCCCCCTCTTGCAGTGTTCGGCATGGTGCCCTTCCTGACGTCCATCCTGAGCACCATGCTGCCCATGCTGGGCATGGCCAAGCATGATACGATGAGGGTGGCGTTCTGCTGTGGTAAGACGGGGTCTCTGAAGGCGGGTGAGGTCTCCGGGGAGGCGGCTGGGAGCTGCCTGCCCGCCCCTTGGCCTTTGTGGAGGGTCATGAGTCCTTTAGGCTAAGGAGGGTAGAGCACTCGCAGGTGACTGCAGAGGTGTGGGCGGAGACTCGGCCTCTCCCTCTGGCTGCTTCTGGCTATTGGTAGGGACCCCCTCTACCTTACAGTGCAGTTCCCCGAGGCTTGGACACTTGTGGTGGTGCGGGAAGAGACCTCCCCAGAGCTGCAGAGACTTCCCGTTTTTCTCCCTGCCCAGTGCTGGGTGTCTCGGAAAGGGGCATTCACGCTCCTCCTTCCTCCTGTGTCTGGGCAAGAGATGGCACCGTGGTGGGCCCTTGGTGGAAAGGGAGGCATTCCCACTGGAAGGGGAGCAGAGGCTCCTGAAACACAGAGGGGGTGCGGGGGGCTGGGCCTCCCTCAGAAGCCACCGCACTGCCCTTATCCTTCAGCTTCCTCAGGAACGCTGTCAGCTCTGGCACTGAGGGGAGGGAGGGGGCACCAGGTCAGCCGAGACCCTCGGAGCAGGCCTGCGGTTAGGAGGGTCTCAGACGCGGGAGAGGCTGGTGACAGGATGGGGTCGGGAGCACCCAGAGCTCAGCTGAGGGGTTGCTGGGTCTTTGCCTGCTGGCCTTGTGCTGCTGTTGCTCCTCGGTGCCCTGGGGGCGGGCGGGAGCCTGGGGAAGCTACCAGCCCGCGCACACCTGGAGGCTGTCGAAGCCGGGATACCTGCTCACAGTCGCTTTGGGTCCCAGGGCCTCCCGCAGGGGCTCCAGCTTCTGCCACCCTCCGCCGGCCCCTCGTCCCGTCTCCCGTGTCCCCGCCGTGGCCTCCTTCCTGTCTTCTCATAGGCTCCTCCCACTGTGGCTGACGGCAGACTCCCTGGGTTGTATGTGGAAACCCTCCTCAACGTAGTTTTGGCTAAAAAGAGAATTTGCGACAGGATCCCAGGGCTGCTGACCCAGGGTTTCCCACTGAGCAGGAATGCGGAGCAGGACACAGAAGGGGCAGGCCGTGCGGGTGTGGGGGCGGGAGCCTCTGGTATATACTTGGAGGTGCTGAAAACAAGGCAGGGGGCTTGGGGGGCCAGCTGGGACTGGGTGCGTCCAGGCTGGAGGGGAGGGAGAAGAGCCCCAGGGCACAGTCACTGTCCGCCCCACACAGCTCCTTGGAAGGACACACCGCAGCCTGCAGCTGCTGAGGCCTGGAGCAGGAGGCCGGCCTGCAGTGCTGAAGAACTGATTCCTTCCCCTTGGCGGTTTTTGCTACGTCTGTGTCTTCTCTCGTGTGTGAAGCGAGGGGGTTTCACCAGCAGATGCTCGGCCGCAGGGCATCCCCGTAGCCAGGTGCCCACGCCTCACCACAGATGAGCATGCCCGCCTGCGACTGGAGGAGAGAGCGGCCCTTCCTGCTGGCACGGGGCACCGTGAGCGGGCCGAGGCCTCCTGTCCTTGCAGGTGGGCCTGTGTCCACTGAGGCCAGTGGCCCTGGGCCAAGCACAGAACTTTGTGCACGGTGGAAAGTCCTCACTGGTTGAGTTCCTAGGACGCTTCGGCCAGGTGGGGGAAGAGCTGGGATGCGCAGAGGTGGAGTTGGCATCCCCCAGACAGCCAGGTGCGCAGTGGGCCTGGCCATCTTGGCAGCACCGACAGCAGCCCCGATGACCACCCCAGAGGAAAGTCCCTGAGACTTGGGGGAAGCAGACAGTCCAGGGAGAAGAAAGCGGGCAAGAAAGAAAAGGCATCATTAACCCCTCAGGGAGGGGAGAGGGAAAGCAGAGCATGTTGCCATGAGGCAGCTACTTTCAGAGAGCACAGCTGAGCTTTTCGGGGTTACGATGACAGATGGCGACCAGAAATGGAAGAGAAGGTTGAGGAAATTCCCCAGAAAACAGAGCAAAAATACAAACATATGGAAAATAGAGAAAGAAGGAAGGATTGGCATGAAGTTGCATTCAAATAGTGGATACCCTTGAAAGAATGAACGGAGCAAATGGGTGGAAGAGTGAAGTCCCCAGCATGCCCCGGAGCGGGGGGTTCCAGGCAGCGGGGTCCTCCGAGCACCCACACCAAGATGCTTTTATGGGACAGCCTTCTCCCCAGCTCAGAGGAGGGCACCATGAACTGATGGACTTGCTATGTGAATGGGCAGGTCCGTGGCCAAGGGAGGCCCGGGATGCTGGCAGGAGATGCGGAGATGGCATTAGTGACCCCTGCCTGGGGAGCCAAGCTGGCGTGACGTGAGCTGGCTGCCCTGGCCTTGGGGGAGGCAACGTGGAACGCTGCAGACTCGTTATGAGCAACCCCAGCGCTTGCTTCTGGAGGAAAAGAAATCGAGCTTGGGGAAGGTATAGGAGAACAGCTCTTTGACCTTCCGCGCATGTGTGTAACTGAGTAACAGTCAAAACCTAGTAACAAAGTGGGAAGGTCAGTTTCTGCTTCCGGCAATATAGTGGTCTGTTACCCTGAAAAACCTCACTACAAAATGCCAGGAAGCGCCGGTCAGTTTGACCACCATCCTGATTACGGAGCTCAGAGAGGCGAGAGCATCGGGTGGACAGGGAGGATGAGAGCAGGGGTCTGGCCCTGCTCCACGAGGCAGCAGCTGTGCGGCGGGTGGGGGCGAGTTGGCCTGGGCTGGACCCTCCAGGGGCCCGTGTTGCTCCAGGACATGGTTTTCTCCTGAAATTTCTTTATCTTTTATTTTTAAAAGATTTTATTTGAGAGAGAGGGAGAGCGAGCACAAGCAGGGGGAGCGGCAGAGGGAGAAGCAGACCCCCCGCTGAGCAAGGAGCCTGGACTCGGGGCTCAATCCCAGGACCCCGAGGTCATGACCTGAGCTGAAAGCAGACGCTTCACCGACTGAGCCACCCAAGCGCCCCTCTTCTAAAATTTCTTTAAATTCTCTCTCTTTCTCGGGAACTCATAACCGTGATTGCCCTCATGTACACCTAGGGGTCAGGCTTATTCTTTCTGTTGGACTGGGGAGCCCACACTGAGAAGGTAGCCACGTAAGTGGGCCACGTGAGAGCTGGACTGGACAGGGGCAAGTGGGCCTGCTGGGTGAGGTGGCAGATCCCTGGGGTCGCCTCCAGGGGGTCTCACAGGCTGGTGCGACCCCTCCCCGCGAGACCTTGAGAGTCGCTGGCTCTTCTGGCCGTTCCCCGGCTCCACTCCCGAGCCCTTAGAGGGGCTGCACGACAGGGCCCTAGCTCGGCCTCTCCCTGACTCGCAGGCCTTTGTCTCTGCCTGGACTTCTGCAGCTCGCAGTCACCTTCAGGGACGCGGCACGCTGTCTCAGGCCTGCCGCACCCCAGCCCGGGCCCTGCGACCCTGGCAAAGTGTGCGGCATTTGTGTCCGTCTGTGAGGGGTGAGCTGGGCACAGCACCTCCTCTTTTTGCCTTACAGCTGGCTGGCATGGGCCGGGCGCTGTGAACCGAGGGCGTTTTGGGGTGGTTGGTACCTGTGTTCCCGGGGCTGCCATAACGTAGTACCCCAAACGAGGGCACTTCCGATGAGAGAAACGGGCGCCGGGCTGGCTCCATCGGTGGAGCGTGTGACTCTTGGTCTTGGGGTTGTGAGTTTGAGCCCTATGTTGGGTGTAGGGATTACTTAAAAATCACATCTTAAAAAAAAAAAAAGATGGAAGTATTCTCTCACGCTTCTAGAGGCCAGGAGTTCGAGATAGCTGTCACCAGGGTTGGTTTCTTCTTGGGGGCTCAGAGGGTGGCTCTGCTCCGTCTCCCCCCCGGTCTGTGCCCTGCTGCACACTGCCGTCTCCTCTCTGTGTGTCTGTGTCTGTGTGTTCTCTTCTAGGGACTCAGTCTTGTAGGGTTCAGGGCCCACCGTATCCCACCACGATCACATCTTAAGTAGTTATATCTGCAAAGATGCTCTTTCCAAAAAAGGTTGCTTTGTGAGGTTCTGGGAAGGACGTGGGTGCGGGGGACACTGTTCACCCCAGTACAGTCGTGGAGTCACACGCTTGGCCACTGTGCTCGGGAGGGTGTCTTGCGGGTGGGGGGTTGCCGGGAGGGGCAGCAAGGCACACGTGGTGTGACCAGCGGTAACCAGCGCTGTCCCCCTCACCCTGGGGTAGTTCTGCAGCACTTCAGCGAGAGCACGCTGGAGTACCTGGCCAACCTGGACCAAGCCCCAGACCCCACGGTCAGGAAGGACACCTTTGCCACGGACATCTTCAGTGCCTACGACATCCTCTTTAACCACTGGCTGCCGAGCCGCGAAGCCAAGGTGTGTTGGGGACTGTGGCCTCCCCTCGCTGGCCGCTCTCTCCCGCCCCCACGGGGTCCTGGTCTGCTCCCATGGCCTGAGCCTCTCCCACTCTGCTGCGGGCTTTGGGGGAGGGGTCCCAGGGAGGGGTAGAGCCAACTGTCCACACAGGCTTCCCAGTCCCGTCCGTGTCCCGCCCCCTGGCTCGGGGGTGCGGGTTTCGTCAGGGGGTGACGGTGCAAGGTCTGCCTTCCTACCCCACTCTGCCTGGAGGCTCCTGCATTGCTGGGGGGTGGGCTGGGGGTGGCAGTTTCCTTTACGGCCTCCCTGGCCTGGCCGCTGTCCGGACCCTGGCCGTGGTCACTCTGACCTCTCTGCCTTTGGACCCCTTTCGGAACCCCTAGTCATGTGGTAATGTGGGTTTCCTCACTTCTGGCCTTGGGTTCTTGGTGAATGGGCCTTTTGCCTCTCCACTCGGGCCAGTGGTTTGGACCTGAGCACCACGGCGCTCTTCCTCTCAGCTCCGGCTTGCCGTGGTGGAGGCCCTGGGGCCCATGAGCCACCTGCTGCCTAGTGAGAAGCTGGAGGAGCAGCTCCCCAAGCTCCTGCCCGGAGTCCTGGCCCTCTACAAGAAGCACGCCGAGACCTTCCACGTGTCCAAGGTGCGCACCTGCCCGCCGTGGCCTGTGCAGAGCTCTGTGCACTGACTCGCCCCCACCTGGCTCAAGACGGGAGGGTGCAGGCACCTGGGAAGGGCCGCTCGGAGAGTGCTGTTAGATTCAGTGGTGGGTGGGGCCTGGTCATATTTCTCCTCGATGCCCTGCCCTGCCCAGGGGTCCTTCACCTTGTCCTTCACCTTTTCTGTGCCCCCTGTCCTGAGACTTGCCCTCTCTTAATTCTTGACTTGGAGGTAGGGCTCCCTTACTGAGCCCTGAGGTGGGGTCTTTGCGGCCAGGAGGTGGGGCTGGGGCTTGAAGTAGGACCGACGGCCCCTGTCCTTTGTCTGGAGCAGAGCCTGGGCCAGATCCTGGAGGCTGCGGTGACCGTGGGCAGCCGCACGCTGGAAGCCCAGCTGGACTCCCTCCTGGCCGCTCTGCATGCTCAGGTAGGATGCGCGGGGGATGGGAATGGGGGGCACCTGTGGCAGGGCAGGCTGGGGCTCCACGGGTAGGGTGCAGGGGGGCATACTGAGGGTGGGGCGCTGGGGACATGCTGGGGACAGGGCCGGTATGACGGGGCAGGTCCTGGTGCCACCCGTCCCCAGGTCTTGGGTGCAGATGCCTGCTGAGGCCTGCAGGGAGCAAGAGTGGGGCGGGCCGTCCAGCCTAGCAGGGCTGAAGTTGGGGTGTTCCCTGCATGGTGGGTGTGGCCCCTGGGATGAAGCTCCTCTCCTTGGCAGGAGTGGGCAGCCTCCAGGACAGAGAGGCCTGAGATGGCCTCGGGGCATCTGCACTGGCTGTGGGCCCCAGGAAGCCTGCAAGGGGAGGGGTCCTGAAAAATACTGGAGATGGGCTTCAGTGGGCCCATGAGCTGTGCAGCCCCCTCTCTCTAGGTCAGAGGAGAGGTGTGGAGGTCACAGGAACACAGAGGCAGGTGGGTGGAGTGGTAGGGAGCGAGTCCTGTCCATGGACTGCTGAGAGAAGAGGGGCATAAAAAGAGAGGGGGGAGGGATGTGGGTCTCCTTCCTGCTCCCACAGCAGCTGGAATGCAGGCCTGGCCTCACATGGTCCTCCTAGCCAGGGGATGGGGAGGGCTGCCCTAGAGAGATTGAACAAAGCTATTGAACTTGAAAAATGGTGAAATGGATAGGTTCCTAAAAAAATAAAAATGTCAAACTTGGCAGCAGAAGAAAGAGAACTCAACTAAACCAACAAACAAGTGGAGATAGTCTTCCAAGACCTTCCTTCCTTCCTTCCAACACACACAGGGCCCACGTGGCTCTAAGGTTGAGTTCTACCCAACTTCTAATTTCCGTCCCATATGCGTGGGTTTGGAGACCAGGCAAAGATTCAGAGCTGCCTGATGGAGTAAAGTCAGTGTCGTCCAGGGGAGACTAAGTCTGTAGTTTGAGGTGCACATTAGAGCTAACGGATCCTGCACTCTACTCCCAAAACAGGAGGGACTGAGAAGCTGTCAGGATGCTCCCTCTCAGAAAGAGATTAGGGAAAAGAGTCTGGAACCTCGGTTGATGAAGAAAAAGCTTCTGATGACTTGCAACACCTATTTATCGTTAAAAGTCTTAGCAATAGGGATTGGGGAGGAACTTCTTGAACTTGTTAGGGTTCATGCATCCACACCCCCAGCATACCTCCTCTTGAGGGGGACTCCGGTGCATTCCCTTGGGGTCAGAGCAGGAAATCCCACTCAGTGGGCCCCGGAGACGTGAGGCTTTGTGGACTGTCGCCTGGCCTCCCCGCCCTGTCCCTGCCCCTGCTTTGTTTCTCCCTGTGGCACTCACCACCTTTGAACGTGCCCGACACCTGACTGCCTGTTGCTCGCCTCTCCACAGCTGCAGCGTAGACCGCGGGAGGCTGGGGTGTTGTCTGCTTTCCCTGCTGTCTCCGCACCTGGCGCGGTACCTGCCACTCGTGAGCACTCAGTGTTTGTTTTAGGGAGGAGTGATTCCCTCATCTAGAAATCCACTCGCGTACAAACAGAATCAGCACACAGACACTAGAACGCGTAATAAACTCAGGAAGGTTACCAGTTGCAAGAGCAACTTACCAGACAACAGCAGTTTTCTCCCTGGTACCGACGGAGAGGCCAACTAGGCAGCGCCCAAAACATACCGTTTACAGCAGCAGCAGAAACGTGGCATGAAATGCCCCAGAACTGAGCTCACCAAGAGTGTCTGAGATCCCTGTGGAGAACAGGTGTACCGCCCCGAAACCGCAGCAGTGAGAAAAGAGACTGCAGCTCAGGATCGTGTACTTAGTGTTGCAGGTGATTGCAGGGGCAGGAGGAGTGGAGATGCGGGCACGGAGCCGAGAAGCGGATGTGATGAGATTTTCTCTTGCCTCACAGCTGCCCACTCGTGTCTCCTGTTCTTCGGCTGGGTTTTCAGTTCCCATACTCACCAGCCTTCCATCCTATGTGTTGTCCCGGCTCCTGTTTTGTCCTTTGTCGTGCGGCTCTGTTCCTGATATTCTCTGCCACCAAAATTATCTAATGTTTCCATCGTTGTGTATCCATCTTTTATGTTATGGTATGGGTTTCGTTATATTTAGAAAAGCTTTTGAGTTATGCAAACTGTTTTTTTTTTTAAGATTTTATTTATTTATTTGCAAGAGAGAGAATGAGAGACAGAGAGCACGAGAGGGAGGAGGGTCAGAGGGAGAAGCAGACTCCCTGCCGAGCAGGGAGCCCGATGCGGGACTCGATCCAGGGACTCCAGGATCATGACCTGAGCCGAAGGCAGTCGCTTAACCGACTGAGCCACCCAGGTGTCCCTGCTGGATTTTTTTTTTTAAGATTTTATTTACTTATTTGACAGACAACAAGAGAAGGGAGCACAAGCAGGGGGAGCAGGAGAGGGAGAGGCAGCCTTCCCGCGGAGTAGGGAGCCCGATGTGGGGCTCGATCCCAGGACCCTAGGATCATGACCTGAGCCGAAGGCAGATGCTTAACGACTGAGCCACCCAGGCACCCTATGTGTTTCTTTCTTTCTTTTTTTTTTAAAGATTTTTTAAAAATTTATTTATTTGAGAGAGAGAATGAGAAAGAGAGAGCACATGAGAGGGGGGAGGGTCAGAGGGAGAAGCAGACTCCCCGCCGAGCAGGGAGCCCGATGCGGGACTCGATCCCGGGACTCCAGGATCATGACCTGAGCCGAAGGCAGCCGCTTAACGACTGAGCCACCCAGGCGCCCGCAAACTGTTTTTCAGAGCCTCCTATTACCTAATACACTTTTATTGTTTAATCCACCTGGAACTTATCTTAGGGAAACTGTGAGAATCCAACTTTTTCTGCTCTCCAGACGACCGCCCATTCGCATTAGTTATCTCCTGCCATGTAGCCAGTGATTCTGGAACGGGGTACCTTTACGAGGCGGCCGCGGGTTGCTCTGCGGCCACTGTGCAGGGTCCAGTCCCGGCTCAGCCGAGTGGTTCTGGCTCGGGGTCTCGTGTGGTGACAGTCTGAAGGCTCGGCTGAGGCTGGGGTCTCAGGTGGGGTGCCCTCGTGGGGCTGCTGGCTGGAGGCCTTGGTTCCTTGCCACGGGGCTGCTTGCACGTCCTCACGACTTGGCAGTCGGCCTCCCCCAGAGGGAGAGCCCGCTGCGCTGCCTTTCATGACCAGATGAGGTCTTTACAGTGGGAAGAGCAAGGAACTCCCTGGGAACCTGGGGCCAGTGCCTGCCCCTCACCCACTTCCCGCAGCTCTCCGCGTGCCAGCAGGGTCCAGCCTGGGGCAGAGCCTGTGGACCTGGGGACTCGCTCTGTACTGTTGGTCACCTCTTCTGCTGTACTCAGGAATTGCCATTGAGCGTTTTGCACAGAGGCCCTGCTGGTGTCCTTTGCCATGACCCTGACCCTGGGCATTGGGGGGGGCAGGACGGGGATGCCACCTCAGAGCTCAGCCCCGGGTGACTGGGGGGCTTCCGTGTCACCCGCTGAGGTGCAGTGGACCCTAGAGTCACATCTGCCAACGGCTTCAGCTCTTACTTTAACCAATGCAACTTTTTTTTTTTTACAATTTTGAATGAATCAGCACTAGGTGTTCGGTTTCCAGTGCTTTTATATCCTAGAGATTAGTGGTCTCCAGCCCGTGCCCAGAGCCCGTGTGACACTGTGTCCTGGCTGTGGTGGGAAGGGGCCAGGACTTGGTTCTCTGGAGACACGAGGGCCAGACCGCGAGGGCTGAGGCTCGGGTCCCTGAACCAGCCCCTGATGGCGGGCGCGCACGTCTGTGTCACCCCAAGGAAGTGCTGGAGGTAGAAACCACGAGGCCTGGGCAGTCTCTCCGGGCCCCGTGGCTGGTGGGGCCCTTGGGAGGCAGCAGCGTTCCCCTGTGACTCGTGTCCGTCCTCTGTCCTTGGAGCAGATCTGCGTGCCTGTGGAGTCATCCAGCCCCCTGGTGGTGAGCAACCAAAAGGAGGTGCTGCGCTGCTTCACCGTGCTGGGTAAGCAGGCTGCGGCCTCTCCCGCAGGGCCCTCTGTGGGCACGCTGTCTGCTCACCGTGGGTGATCGCCTGTGTGCAGGTGGGCGGCTCCGGTCAGGGGTTGGAGCTGAGGAGGTTTCTTTGCTGCCTGGGCCTGGGCCTGGGCCTGTGTGTCACTCCAGAGCCTCCCCGCAGAGGCCGGGCCGGGCTGCAGCCCCTGGTGTCCACCCTCCCCACCTTGGGGTTTGCACACACCGGCGTCAAGCAGGGAGCAGATGATTACAAATACGGTTTTTGTTTGTTTTGTTTTGTTTTTTTTAAAGATTTTATTTATGTATTTGTCAGAGAGAGAGCACACAAGCAGGGGGAGCGGCAGGCAGAGGGAGAAGCAGGCTCCCCGCGGAGCAGGGAGACCGACGCGGGGCTCGATCCCAGGACCCTGGGATCATGACCTGAGCGGAAGGCAGACGCTTAACGACTGAGCCACCCAGGCGCCCCTACAAATACGTTTTTTGGATGTTGCTTGCCCTGCAGCTTCCTGTGCCCCTGACCGCTTACTGGCCTTCCTGCTGCCCAAACTCGATACCAACAACGAGAGGACCCGCGTGGGCACCCTGCAGGTGGTGCGGCATGTCATCAACTCGGCCGGTGAGTGCCCAGCGGGGGGCAAGGTCTGAAAAAGGCAGGCACTGTCCATCTTGCAGGTGAAAGGAACATCTTGCTCTGATTCTTTTTTTTAAGATTTTATTTATTTGAGAGAGAGAGAGCATGAGCGAGCACAAGTGGGGAGGAGGGACAGGCAGACTCCCCACTGAGCATGGAGCCTGATGCAGGGCTCTATCTCACCACTCTGAGATCATGACCTGAGCCAAAACCAAGAGTTGGACGCTCAACTGAGACCCCAGGCACCCCTTGCTTGAAATCTTTTTTCTTCTTCTTTTTTTTTTAGATTTTATTTATTTATTCATGAGAGACAGAGAGAGGTGGAGGCAGAGGGAGAAGCAGGCTCCCCGCTGAGCAGGGAGCCCCAGGGGGGGCTGGATCCCAGGACCCTGGGATCATGACCTGAGCTGAAGGCAGACATTTAAAGACTGAGCCACCCAGGCGCCCCCCCCCCCCCTTGCTTGAATCCTTAAAAAAATTGTCCCTACTTTCTATCTTGCAAAATTCCAAACTTTTTCAAAAATACGTTTCTGCCCACCAGCGAATGTCCATCGTAGACATTTGCCTTTGATGGGTGGTTGCAGTCGCTGGGCTGCAGCGCCCCTTCCGGGCCAGGCGTTCCCTGCTCGCCCCCTGGCCTGGTGGCTCAGACATGTCCTAAGTCGTCTGTCATGGCTGCCCTGGAGGGTCCAGTCAGAGAGACCTGTCTCTTAGGTGTGGGCCCCTGGGAAGGGTGCAGACCTGCTATTCGGCAGAACACCCCTTGGTCTGCATGTGTCTCATGACTCCCTCAGTCAGATGGAAGGCTCCGGGCTTCTGCTTCTAGGACTCATTTAATCAGCAACAAGCTTGGACACGTGGCACACCCGAGTTTGTATTTTTTGATGAGTCTTGGTCAGTAAATAATGGCCATGGGCCATGGTCGGCCTGCAGCCTGCTGTCGGGCAGCCCAAGCTCTGAGTGGGTTTTCCATGTTAACAGGTTGTAAAAGCAAAGAAGAGTGTGACAGACCACACATGGCCCTTGAAGCCTAAGATAGGTTCTCATTGGCCCTTTATGGAACAAGAATGCTGACCCCTGTCCAGGGAGGTCCTGTGGGTTGGGGCTGAGTCACAGACAGTGCCCGTGGACACGAGGCATCTTATGGAATTGGGGGACGATGCCCTGTGGGAAGGGGCCGGCAGCGCGCTGGCTCCCTGGGGAAGGGCTCCTCACACCCGGAGGATGGTGGTGGTCACACAGAGGTGAAGTGCGCGCCCGCCCCGCCCCGGCAGCCCCTCCTCGGAGCCCGTTTCCCTGATGAGGAGGCTGAGGTGACTCAGCTAGCGGCGCTGGGAGCCGGGTGCCTGTATCAGACGCCCGTGTGCAGGCAGACGCTCTCCTCCTGAACTGCCCCCTGGCTCGTCTGCTTTCAGGCTTGTCTTGTGCTCGCATAGGTCTTGTTTTTGGTTCGTTCTCTGTTAACACACATGCACATGTGTATGTAAGGAAGTAGACTTTCTATTTTTTAATTTCTTATGTCTTATATTCAGTTTATTTAAACAGAAAAAACCCAGTTCACCCATTTTTCCCACCCTTCACCCTCCACCTCTGGCAATCACCAATCTGTTCTCTGTGAGCTCAGTTTTATAGGTATAGATAGGTGATATTTTTTTTTTAGATTCCGTATGTAAAAGAGATCACACTGTATTTGTCCTGCCATCTGAGTCTTGATCAGTCTTTTTTTTTTTACTTGAATGTTCTATCAATTTTATTTTTTTTATTTAAATTTAATTAATTAACATATAGCATAGTATTGGTTTCGGGGTAGAGTTCAGTGATTCATCAGTTGCATATAATACCCAGTGCTCATTACATCACATGCCCTCCTTCATGCCCATCACCCAGTTACCCCCCCCAACTCTAGCAACCCTCAGTTTGTTTCCTGAGATTGAGTCTCTTATGGTTTGTCTCCCCCTCTGATTTCATCTTATTTTATTTTCCCTCCCTTCCCCTATGATCCTGTTTTGTTTCTTAATTTTCACATCAGTGAAATCATATGATAATTGTCTTTCTCCAATTGACTTATTTCGCTTAGCATAATACCCTCCAGTTCCATCCATGTCAATGTAAATGGTAAGTATTCATCCTTTCTGATGGCTGCATAATACTCCATTGTATATATGGACCACATCTTCTTTATCCATTCATCTGTCAATGGACATCTTGGCTCTTTCCACAGTTTGGTTATTGTGGACATTGCTGCTATAAACATCGGGGTGCACGTTCCCTTTCGGATCCCTACTTTTGTATCTTTGGGGTAAATACCCAGTAGTGTAATTGCTGGGTCGTAGGGTAGCTCTATTCTCAACTTTCTGAGGAACCTCCATACTGTTCTCCAGAGTGGCTGCACCAGCTTGCATTCCCACCAACAGTGCAGGAGGGCTCCCCTTTCTCCACATCCCCGCCAACATCTGTCGTTTCCTGACTTGTTAATTTAGCCATTCTGACTGGTGTGAGGTGATATCTCATTGAGGTTTTGATTTGGATTTCCCTGATGCCGAGCGATGTTGAGCACTTTTTCATGGGTCTGTTGGCCATTTGGATGTCTTCTTTGGAAAAATGTCTGTCCATGTCTTCTGCCCATTTCTTGGTTGCATCATTTGTTCTTTGGGTGTTGAGTTTAAGAAGTTCTTTATAGATTTTGGATACTAGCCCTTTATCTGATATGTCATTTGCAAATATCTACTCCCATTCTGTCGGTTGTCTTTTGGTTTTGTTGACTATTGCTTTTGCTGTGCAAAAGCTTTTTATCTTGATGAAGTCCCAATAGTTCATTTTTGCCCTTGCTTCCTTTGCCTTTGGTGATGTTTCTAGGAAGAAGTTGCTGCGGCTGAAGTCGAAGAGGTTGCTGCCTGTGTTCCGCTTTAGGATTTGGATGGACTCCTGTCTCACATTTAGGTCTTTCAACCATTTGGAGTCTTATTTTTGTGTGTGGTGTAAGGAAATGGTCCAGTTTCATTCTTCTGCATGTGGCTGTCCAGTTTTCCCAACACCATTTGTTGAAGAGACTGTCTTTTTTCCATTGGATAGTCTTTCCGCTTTGTCGAAGATTAGTTGACCATAGAGTTGAGTGTCCATTTCTGGGCTCTCGAGTCTGTTCCATTGATCCATGTGCCTGTTTTTGTGCCAGTACCAGACTGTCTTGATGATGACAGCTTTGTAATAGAGCTGGAAGTGCGGAATTGTGATGCCACCAGCTTTGCTTTTCTTTTTCAATATTCCTCTGGCTATGCGGGGTCTTTTCTGGTTCCATACAAATTTTAGGATTATTTGTTCCATTTCTTTGAAAAAAGTGGATGGTATTTTGATGGGGATTGCATTGAATGTGTAGATTGCTTTAGGTAGCATAGACATTTTCACAATATTTTTCTTCCAATCCATGAGCATGGAACGTTTTTCCATTTCCTTGTGTCTTCCTCAGTTTCTTTCATTAGCGTTCAATAGTTTTCAGAGTACAGATCCTTTACCTCTTTGGTTAGATTTATTCCTATTATTTTATGGTTTTCAGTGCAATTGTAAATGGGATCAATTCCTTAATTTCTCTTTCTACAGTTACATTGTTAGTGTATAGAAATGCCACTGATTTCTGTGCGTTGATTTTATATCCTGCCGCTCTACTGAATTCCTGCATGAGTTCTAGCAATTTTGGGGTGGAGTCTTTTGAGTTTTCTACATAGAGTATCATATCATCTGCAAACAGTGAGAGTTTGACTTCTTTGCCAATTCGGATGCCTTTTATTTAATAATTTTCGTTGTCTGATTGCTGAGGCTGGGACTTCTAGTACTGTGTTGAACAACAGTGGTGACAGTGGACATCCCTGCCGTGTTCCTGACCTTAGGGGGAAAGGCTCTCAGTTTTTCCCCATTGAGAATGATATTCGCTGTGGGTTTTTCATAGATGGCTTTTATGATATTGAGGTATGTACCCTCTATCCCTATACCCTGAAGAGTTTTGATCAAGAAAGGATGCTGGGGCGCCTGGGTGGCTCAGTCATTAAGTGTCTGCCTTCGGCTCAGGTCCTGGGATCGAGCCCCACATCGGGCTCCCTGCTCGGCGGGAAGCCTGCTTCTCCCTCTCCCACTCCCCCTGCTTGTCTCGCTATGTCTCTCTCTGTCAAATAAATAAAATCTTTAAAAAAAAAAAAAGGATGCTGTACTTTGTCAAGGAATTAGACTTTCTCTTACCAAATGACATAATTCAAAAACATGCTTTTTCCCTATCTAGTACACCTTAGAAAATTAATAGTGTCATCATGCATTATTATTATTTTTAAAGATTTTATTTATTTGTCAGAGAGAGAGAGAGAGAGAGAGCACAAGCAGGGGGAGCGGCAGAGGCAGAGGGAAAAGGGAGAAGCAGGCTCCCCACTGAGCAAGGAGCCCGATGCGGAACTCGATCCCAGGACCCCGGGATCATGACCTGAGCCGCATTATTATTATTTTAAAGTATAACACCCATACAAAAAGCACACGTGTTTACTCTTCAGCATAACGACTCCCTGCATATGCCTGTGAGGATTCGGCTCTGGCCTGGAGCCCCTACCGGATTTCTGGCTTGTGGTGTAGATAGGACCTGAGTGTGTGAATTACTTTGTAACTGGCTTCTTTCCCTCAATATTCTGTGTGTGAAATTTATTTGTGTAGTGCAGCTCAGTCACTTCCTTTCTGTGAAGCATCCCAGTGAATTAAGCTGTAGTCCCTCTCTCCCTATGTTTTCTGTTGGGACGCACCATGCTACCAGGAACACTTTTCCCATGTATGTTCAGTTGATCGTATGCCTAGGGGTAGAGTTTCGGGTCATAACGTGTGTGTATGTTCAACTTCAGTTGGTAAAACCATTCTGTTGTACAAAGTTCGTACCCCACGCCTTATTATCACAACGCCTTATTATCACAAGCAGCATGTGAGCAACATTGCTTCGTGCCCTTGCCAACACCTGCAGTCTTTAACTTCAGCCATTTTGGTAGGTGTGTGTCGTATCCCATTCTGTTTTTTGGGTTTTTTTAAAGATTTATTTATTTTAGAGTGCACACACAAGCAGGGGGAGGGGCAGCGGGAGCAGGAGAGAGAGAATCCCAAGCAGAGTCTGCACTGTGCACGGAGTCTGACATGGGGCTCCATCCCACGACCCTGAGATCACGACCTGAGCTGAAACCAAGAGTCAGATGCTTAACCGACTGAGCCACCCACGTGCCCCTCATTCTAGTTTTTATTTATTTATTTTTTTTTAAGATTTTATTTATTTACTCGACAGAGAGAGACACAGGGAGAGGGGGAACACAAGCAGGGGAGAGTGGGAGAGGGAGGAGCAGGCTTCCCGCGGAGCAGGGAGCCCGATGTGGGGCTCGATCCCAGGACCCTGGGATCATGACCTGAGCCGAAGGCAGACGCCCAACGACTGAGCCACCCAGGCGCCCCTCATAATGGTTTTTATAAAATTAGAGCACATATTTAGTTTGACTTACAGTGAGAAATCCAGTAATAGCTTGTTGATCTATCAGAAGTCCATAAAACATGTTTTTTCCTCAATGGCAACCAGATTTTGTTCTTTTTCTCTTCACTTTTATTGAGACATTCTTGACATATAACATTGTGTAGCATTAGGGTGAAGGACTGGTGGGTGATGCAGCCTCTCCCTGGAGGGACGGCTTAGACCAGGGCCCCTCTCCCCACTGCAGTCCTCACTGACCAGAGGAGCTGCTGTGTCCCCAGGGCTGGCTGTGTCTGCAGCCCTGTTCATGCCCTGGGCGCCCGCAGGAAGGCTCCGTTGCTGTCTATTTTGTAGGTGAGGGTAATAAGGCGCAGTTCAGGAATGGCCGCCTGCCTTGCGTTAGCATGAGTGGTGGATCTGGGATGCACACCCAGCTTCGGGGGAGCCAGGGCCCTGCTCTTTTTAGAAGTCCTCAAATTTTGAATTAAAATATTAGGATTAAGAAGTTGGGGCCAGGACGCCTGGGTGGCTCAGTTGTTAGGCGTCTGCCTTCGGCTCAGGTCATGATCCCAGGGTCCTGGGATCGAGCCCCCCATCGGGCTCCCTGCTCAGCGAGGAGCCTCCTTTTCTCTCTGCCTCTCTCCCCTGCTAATGCTGTCTCTCTCTCTCACAGAAAGAAGAAAGAAAGAAAGAAAGAAAAGACAGAAGTTGGGGCCATAGTTGGATTCTTTGGTACCGTGATCCAGGAAGCCTTTCTTGTGTGGGGGGGGCATTGCCATGCTCACCAGGTTGGCCGCACAGGAAGCTCTGTCCTCGAGCATTGGGCCTTGTCACTGAAAACTCTGATGACCATCTATCTGAGTTTCTTTAGAAGTGATTTGGTCTGTTTGCTTGGGTGCCTAAAGGATGTTAATTTTTTTTTTTATAAATCCAGAATTTTTTTTTTTTTAAAGAGATTTTATTTATTTATTTGACAGAGAGAGACACAGCGAGAGAGGGAACACAAGCAGGGGGAGTGGAGGAGGGAGAAGCAGGCTTCCCGCTGAGCAGGGAGCCCGATGCGGGGCTCGATCCCAGAACCCTGGGATCATGACCTGAGCCGAAGGCAGACGCTTAACGACTGAGCCACCCAGGTGCCCCTAAATCCAGAAATTTTATTGACTGTGTTGGCTGTTCTGGGGATGATATTTTTCCCAGATCTGTCAAGTGCCTTTTCAGTATGTAGTTTCAAATCTTATTTTACCTCAGGATTTTTATTTTTATTTATTTTTAAAGATTTTATTTATTTGTCAGAGAGAGAGAGGGAGAGAGCGTGCACAGCAGGGGGAGCAGCAGGCAGAGGGAGGGAGAGGCAGGCTTCCCACTGATCCCAGGACTCTGGGATCATGACCTGAGCCCAAGGCAGATGCTTAACGACTGAGCCCCCCAGGCGCTCTTCTGCCGTGGTCTTGGCTGCATCGGTGATCAGTGTCTGGGGCAGACTCAGTGCTGCTTTGACTGCGGTGATTTCTTTGACGGGAACACCTTGATAAAGAGATGCTTCCCTCCTGTACTGTGTGCCCAACCAGAGCTCATGGTTCCTGTAAAGAAGGCAGGATTGATCATTGAGTCTTTTGCTCTTTTTGTCAGTTTTCAAGAAAATAGATTCGTTCCCTATTATCCTCTAAATGTAACTTTCCTTTTTTTTTTTTTTTTTTAATTTTAAAGCCTCATATGGATGAGTAAGTTCTGTTATATTTGCTTTTAAAAGATGTTATTTGGGGAGGGGTGGGGAAATAAAAGGCATTATTTTATGTCACATCTCAAAAAAAAAAGAATCCTAAGTGCTCATGGATTGTAACATTTAATGGGTTGCAGTCATTGCCATTATCGAAGCTCAAATTGTATCATTTTGGGGCTGTGGGAGCCTCTTCAAGGTCTGAGTCCTTTGGCCTGGCCACTGTGGTCTTTGGCAGCTGGTGCTCTAGGCTCTTAGATAGTTCTTGCCCCCAACCTGGAATCAGCCATTTCTCCAAAAAGCCCTGTTTCCTTAGTGAGAAACTGTCCTTAAAGACCATAGTGTGGTGCTAGGGGTGCTTGTTACGTGTTGGTCACCAGGCCTCTCAGGAGAGCGAGCTAGGAAATGCTGCACTAGACGGAGGGGCGAGTGCGGGGGGTTCACGCTGACATTGCCGACTGAACACACAGGCCTTGACTTTTACTCTTTTCTCTGCTTTGGTTTTCTTTAAAGTCCAGTAATTTTACTAGAATGTCCTGGTGTTGGTCATTGTGGGTCAACACCGTAGGGAGAGCAGGGAGTCTCATCTTCGCTGTGCCCCTCCCCACCTGTTGCTGCCCCGACAGCCCCGCTCCCACCGCAGCGGGCTCTCAGCTCAGCTGCTGCAGGCGCCCCGGCTGGGGAGGCTCCTCCCCCTGCACCCCTCCTGGCCGTCCCTTCTCGGCTTTAGGCTTTTAGCTCAGATGTGCCTCATTCAGAAGAGCCCCTGGACCCTGACTCCCACTCCAGACTGGGTCCCCCATTGGTGGTCTGCTTCTCCACCTCTTGTCTGCACCTTTCATGACATTCGTACAGTGTGTGATGGTCTGATCATCTGCTTGTTCTGTCTCCACTTGGGGACGGGCCATGCTTGCCTTGCTCTGTGCTGCACCCTCAGCACGTCGTAAGGGCCTGGCTCACGGCTGGCCTTCACAGAAACCCCAGGAGCCAGTCGAAGCTGCAGGCAGTGGCACCGTGAGTCGAGTGCTGTCTCCCGTGTGGCAGGAAGACGGGGACTGGATTGACGTCTGTCCTCGGCCCGTGCCCTCACATCCCTGGGCCCTCGTGTCCCCTCGTCCCTTTTCCTGGTGGACCTGCTCACTGCTTGCGTCAGTTTTTCTGTTGGGTTGTTTGCATTCTTTGCTCTTTGTAACCGTTTCTTGGGAAATAGAAATACGAACGAAAGCTCACAGAGCACCGTGTGGTCGGCGGCATCTGTCAGCGCTGCTTCTTCACCCAGTAGGTTGTCTTCAGTGTCCTTTGGCTCACTTTTGTGCTGTGACCAGCCCACAGCCTGGACCGCACCCCTCACTCCATGTTGCCGTCCTGCACGGGTTGTCCTGGGCGTGGGTGCACTTGTGTGGACCCTCAGCTTTCCCAGCGCTGCCCAGCCGTCTGCGCAGCGTGCCCGGGTCTCCAGCGCCTCTGAGGGTTTCCGCTGCTCTGCAGCCTTACTTTCACGCGGCTTTGCCCCGTCTTTGCCTTTGCCGATTGGGCAGCTGTCCCTGCACCTCCTTGGCCAGCAGGTGGCGGAGTCCAGCGGCCTTGCCTTCCTGTTGGCAGTGGGGGCTCGGTCAGGTCTCTTGTCCAGTTTTCTATCGATCTTTGTCTTCCTTATCAACTTGCTGGGATTCCCTTGTGCATTGAGACATGAGTCTTCTGGTTGTGTGTTATATTTCTCTTGTCCACCTTGGTGGCCACTTTCCTGGCCTCCTCATGCACTCCTGAGTCTCGGCAGAATCCTTTGCCACCTTCTTGTGGCTCCTGCTCTGCTTTCCTACTGGGTGTTCATGAAGGGCCTTTGCAGCATCTTATCAGAGGGGCAGTTTGTCTCACAGTTGGGTCTAGAATCATGTTTTCTTGGCTTGCACATCTCCTGTTGTGGCCAGGAGCCCACACTGGCTTTCTCACGGCCGCCACGGGGCAGAGCGTGGGCGTGACCGACAGGCTACGGGCTGTCAGAATGACCCCGTCCCATGTGGAATAAAAGTGCCATCCCTGGGGCGCCTGGTGGGCTCAGTGAGTGGAGCATGCGGCTCTTGATCGCAGGGTTGTGGGTTCGAGCCCCACGTTGGCTGTAGAGGGGACTTAAAAATAAAATCTTTAAAAATATAAAGTGCTCTCCCCCCGTGTGCCTCGAAGGGTCCCTGTGCCATGGGCACTCTTGTCTCTGTCCTCATTCCTGTTGGTCTCAGGGCCACTTCCTGACAGCCGCTCTCGGTCCCTGCTTACCTGTCAGGAGACAAAGGCTGACCCTGCTGGTTCTCGGGTGGGAGGGGTCCTTAGTCCAGCAGCATCAGCACAGCCGGGAATGTGTGGAAAGCGCCCATGTAGACCTGCTAACAGGCCTGCCGGGACGGGGGTGCTGTTGGGGGCCCCACAAACCCGGCTCTGCCTGACTCAGGACACTCCCTTACCTGCTGCCTTAAATTACCTATCATCCAGCTTCTTATTGGGCAAAATAATGTTATTTGGGGAAAAGGTCATTTGTTCCCAGGAGAAAAGTAGGTGGGCCTTGCCTAAGTGCCGTCCTCTCCCCCTGCTGCAGGCCAGGCTGTGGCCAGACCCTGGCGATGGCGCGTTGGGCCTCGTGTCATGGTGGGGAGACTGAACCATCTGTTCGTTTCTTGCAGCTTCTCAGATGGAAGTTAAGAAGCCCTTTATTCTGTCCTCCATGAGGCTTCCTCTTCTGGACACCAACAGCAAGGTAGATGGTGGGGTCAGCGCGAGCTCTGCTGGGAGCAGCCACAGGAGGCATGACCAGGTTGGGGCCGGAGGTCCTCCCTGACTCAGCCAGACCTGGACATCAGAGGGAGGGTGCAGGTGTGGGTGCTGCTGAGCTGTCAGCCAGGACGCCCACATCCTACTCCTTCTACAGTTAACCGCGTATGAAGTGAGACAGGGGTCCCCGAGACCCCGTCGGGTCCGCTGATTTGCTCCGAGGGCTCCCAGAACTCACGAGAGCTGTCATGCTCACAGTTACGGTTTATCACAGGGAGAGGACCCAGACTGCCATCAGCCAGGGGAAGGGGTGCCCAGAGCAGGGCCCAGGAGGGTCCCTACTGCCCTCTCCCCGTGGAGTCGCGGGCCCCGAAGTGACAGCACATACGAGTGTTGCCAGCCGGGGAAGCCCCCAGCCTCGGTGTCCAAGGTCTTTATCCGGTTCCTGTCACGCAGACCTGGTCGGCTGCCCGCATGGCTGACCTCAGTCTCCAGCCCCTCGGGAGGCCGAGCTGATACCGTGTGGCCCAGAGCCTCAGGGGAACAAGGACACTGGACTCAGGACGTCCCCGGGCTCAGTGGTGACCTCCCAGCAGCCGAGGACAGGGTTGATCCTTACTGACCCTTACTGGGGCCCCATAGGCAGGCAGGCCTGCTTACTCACAGGTCGCAGGGGTGCCCCTGCCCGTCCCTGGGGGCTGCTCCAGACTTTGCACTCATCCCAGGGAGCCTGCTTTTTGGGACCTTCTGCGAGAGTTTTGAAACTACTGAAATGGATCCCAAACCACTGAGGCCACGTCTGTTGCAAGGCCCCCATGCACAGCCCCCAGAATCTCCCTTTTGGTGCTGTGGCTCAGGAACACCCCTGAAAGGGCTCCCACCATGTGCCATGGACAATGTCAGTGGCCAGGCGCACTCAGCCTGATCATCCATTATGCGACCTCATTGCTTGCCCCCCAGATCTACCCCTTCCCACAGTCATTCGGGTCATGTGTGTGATGGGGGATGGCATGGAGCTGTGAGTGGCCAAGGAGGCTGGGACAGTGATATTAGACCTGAGGAGAGAGACCTTATAAGGAAGGATCCCAGGGTGGGGGGGCATTGGGCTGGTGTCTGTGCCCGTGGACTCGTGGGCTCGGGGAGAAGCGGGAGGGCCTGGGGGAGGCACTAGCTCTGGGGGTGGGGGTTTTCAGCCAAAGTGACCTGTCTGAACCTTTGAGCCACCAGGCGGGGCCATTGAGTGGGGCTGGACAGCAGGCTCAGCTCCCAGGAATGTTGGGGCAACAGCGGCTGATTCAGGGCCCTTGCACTGAAGGGGGAGGTGGAGCCGGGATGATGGCACGTGAGAGGTGCCAACCCTGAGGAGAGCTCAGTGTGGGACAAGCACAGGGCAGAGGGGACAGCACGTTGGGAGCCAGAGGAGCAACAAGTCTCGCGCCCAGGGAAGGAGGGAGGTATGGGGGACAGGAGGAAAAGGGGCCTTCCACTGAGGCCCTGAGCACATCCACAGGCTGGCGAGGTGGCCACACATGCAGCCAAGGGGCTGTGAAGAAGTGGGGGTGGGTGCAGGCACAGGTAAAGATACAGGTGTAGATGGGGCGCAGGTGGAGGTACACACAGCTGCAGGCACAGGTGCAGATACAGGTGTAGATGGGGTGTGGGTGTAGGTACACAAAGGTGCAGGCACAGTTGCAGATACAGGTGTAGATGGGGTGTGGGTGGAGGTACACACAGGTGTAGATGGGGTGCGGGTGGAGGTACACACAGCTGGAGGCACAGGTGCAGATACAGGTGTAGATGGGGTGCGGGTGGAGGTACACACAGGTGCAGGCACAGGTGCAGATACAGGTGTAGATGGGGCACGGGTGGAGGTACACACAGGTGTAGGCACAGGTGCAGATACAGGTGTAGATGGGGTGTGGGTGGAGGTACACAGGTGCAGGCACAGGTGTAGCTGGGGCGCGGGTGGAGGTACACACAGGTGCAGGCACAGGTGCAGATACAGGTGTAGATGGGGTGTGGGTGGAGGTACACACAGGTGCAGGCACAGGTGCAGATACAGGTGTAGATGGGGTGTGGGTGGAGGTACACACAGGTGCAGATACAGGTGTAGCTGGGGCGTGGGTGTAGATACACACAGGTGCAGGCACAGGTGCAGATACAGGTGTAGATGGGGCACGGGTGGAGGTACACACAGGTGTAGGCACAGGTGCAGATACAGGTGTAGATGGGGTGTGGGTGGAGGTACACACAGGTGCAGGCACAGGTGTAGCTGGGGCGCGGGTGGAGGTACACACAGGTGCAGGCACAGGTGCAGATACAGGTGTAGATGGGGTGCGGGTGGAGGTACACACAGGTGCAGGCACAGGTGCAGATACAGGTGTAGATGGGGTGCGGGTGAAGGTACACACAGGTGCAGATACAGGTGTAGCTGGGGCGTGGGTGTAGATACACACAGGTGCAGGCACAGGTGCAGATACAGGTGTAGCTGGGGCGCGGGTGGAGGTACACACAGGTGCAGGCACAGGTGCAGATACAGGTGTAGATGGGGTGTGGGTGGAGGTACACACAGGTGCAGGCACAGGTGTAGCTGGGGCACGGGTGGAGGTACACACAGGTGCAGGCACAGGTGCAGATACAGGTGTAGATGGGGTGCGGGTGGAGGTACACACAGGTGCAGGCACAGGTGCAGATACAGGTGTAGCTGGGGCGCGGGTGGAGGTACACACAGGTGCAGGCACAGGTGCAGATACAGGTGTAGATGGGGTGCCGGTGGAGGTACACACAGGTGCAGGCACAGATGCAGATACAGGTGTAGATGGGGTGCCGGTGGAGGTACACACAGGTGCAGGCACAGGTGCAGATACAGGTGTAGCTGGGGCACGGGTGGAGGTACACACAGGTGCAGGCACAGGTGCAGATACAGGTGTAGATGGGGTGCCGGTGGAGGTACACACAGGTGCAGGCACAGGTGCAGATACAGGTGTAGCTGGGGCACGGGTGGAGGTACACACAGGTGCAGGCACAGGTGCAGATACAGGTGTAGATGGGGTGTGGGTGGAGGTACACACAGGTGCAGATACAGGTGTAGATGGGGTGCGGGTGTAGGTACACACAGCTGCAGGCACAGGTGCAGATACAGGTGTAGCTGGGGCGCGGGTGGAGGTACACACAGGTGCAGGCACAGGTGCGTGTGGTATAAATGTGGGTGTAGGGGAGGGAAGAGCAAGATTCCTGTCTCCCAACTGGACTGTCATGGCACCATCCGGGACTCTTCCTTGAGGCCCCTGTCTGACCTCCCTTGGTCCTGGGCAGGTGAAGCGGGCCGTGGTGCAGGTGATCAGCGCCATGGCCCACCATGGCTACCTGGAACAGCCTGGAGGGGAGGCGATGGTGGAGTACATTGTGCAGCAGTGTGCGCTGCCCCCCGAGATGGAGGTAAGAGGGTGCCCCCCACCTATCCGCTGTGGAGCTCAGGAGCCATCAGCCTTCTGTGAGGCAGCGTGGTCATCAGAACCTGCACAACCCCAGCTGGGGGGCAGGGTGCGTGGGTGGGTGTGTGGGTCTCAGTCTGTGGGCTGAGCACCTCTCTTGTTTCTGTGCTGGGGCCTCTACATCTTTAGTGCTTCACTCCCTTAGCTCCCAGGACTCAGAAGAGAGAGGCAGAACAGATACTTGGCTCTCTTTGGGGCTTTTCTATTGAAAAAGTTACTAAGCAAATCCAAGTTTCTTCTTGAGGGAGAGCAAGGTAGATGGCATAAACACAGGCGTGACTGGGTGGTCTCGATGTCATGGCCTTGAGCCTGCCCTGGGCCCGGTCTCTCAGGCCCACAGAGCCACCCTGTCTGCCCAGGTCAGCTCAGAGCTATATGTCCCCACCTGGAACTCTGTGTTTAGGCTGCAACACTGGAGTTTAGCCAGAGTGAGTGAATGCTGCCACTTCGCCTCTGGAACGGCCGTTGTGGCCCTCAGCCCTCGGAAAGGGGCCCAGCTTGGCACTGTTCCCACAGGCCTTGGGATGCTGGGTCCCCTGCTGCTTTGGCCCATTTTGGCCTCTGCATTTTCACAGCCACTTTGGGGCTGTTGGGCATACACTGGAGAGAATCAAGATCTCTGTTTTAGTCTATTAGTTCCCAGTATTGGGGGGGTTGAAGATTTCTTTTAGGATATTAACATTTTTCTAGGTGAATAGTTTTTCATGGCCATTGCGGGCTTATAATTTTACTGTATTGTCTGTTGTGAATCTGGCCAGGTTTATTCCTGCTGTTAAGAGTTTGTTGACAAGGGTGCCTGGCTGGCTTAGTCGGTGGAGTGTGCAACTCTTAATGTCAGGGTTGTGAGTTCAAGCCCCACGCTGGATGCAGACATGACTTAAATAAATAAAATCATTTAAAAAAATGTTTGTTGAGATATTCTTCTTGACCTAATAGATGGTCAGGCTTTCTAAGTTGTTCATGTTTGGGATGAAGTTCTGGCTATGTTTTTAGAGCATGCTTTAAAACTTGTTACTCAAGGCCTAAACATCCCTATTTTCTCTACTTGACCTTTGATCTCTAAGGGAGAAGCCGTGGGTCTCCTACAGTCATTGCATTTTGGCCATTTCTCTTTGTTGTTCAGTGTTTGCTTTTTGGTATTTCAAAGCATGAATGGGAGGCTCAGACAGAACATGTAGCAAACAGGTCATTTTCTTGCAAGGAACCTTCCTAGGGAGCCGGGCTGTGGACGCTGTCTCTCCCGAGAAACTGTCAGCTGACTCAGGCTGCAGAAGCTGTAGCCTGTTCTTGGAAGAAAATGGGGGTTTTCCCAGGTGACTGTCATTTCCACCAGGCCATCCCATGTCTACGGACGTCACAGGGCCGCAGTCAAGGATAAAGTGGTTTCTTACAGAGTCTGTGGCTGGTAGGGAAAGCTCACTGTCTCTGTCGTTCTGGAGACTGGAACTAAGCCAGCTGGTCTTGTTTCCTTGGGCACTTTTAGTGCAGAGTGTTACCTGCCCATGGTGGGCGACATGGCATCCCCTATGGAGGCTGGGCAGGGTCTGCCCTATTTGCATACAGGCTGTGTCCTCACACCCCGAGCCCACAACCGAGCAGCCTTTGAGAGCAGAGCGGTGCAGCCCCATGCATGGCCTGCCCCTGCTCCCCCCCTCCCCCAGCCTTGGAAGCTGGGCCCCGACAGCGAGGACCTCGCAACAGACAGCGTGCGGGCCATCAGCATCAGCACCCTCTACCTGGTCAGCACCACCGTGGACAGGATGAGCGACGTGAGTGTGTGCGCCCGCCCCGTAGCCAGCTCCCAGGGCACCTGACTGACCACTGCCCTCCTGACCTTGTGGCCCAGGGACTGTTGAACCCAGTGGTGGGCAAGCCGCGGGGGCAGGGGTGCTCTCCAGGTCACCTCCCCAACCTTCCCGAGCCCCTGTGGTGCCTGGGGGGAGCTCCTGGCTGTGTTTGCCCCTGCAGCCTGCACTCCCGAGGTGCTGCAGACAGACCACGGCTCTGCCTCCAGGTCCTCTGGCCCTACCTGCTCAAGTTCCTCACACCCGTGCGCTTCACGGGGGCGCTGACCCCGCTCTGCAAGAGCCTGGTGCACCTGGCCCAGAAGAGGCAGGAGGTGGGGGCCGATGCCTTCCTCGTCCAGTACGACAGCAACGGTGCGCCCTGCCCCCCACCATGTCATCCCTCACCTTGGAGCTCGCCTTGAACCCGGCCTCTTCCCGCCAGCAGCCCCGCCCCCGCCTCCACCCCACCCCACCCCACCCCAGGGGCAGTCAGGGGCCAGGGCTCTGTGGGCAGGCAGCCCCCTGAGAATTTCTACCGCCTCCTTTCCAGTGACCCTCCCTTCGCCCTACGCCATAACCACGAGACTTCTGGTGAGCATCACCCTCCATGTGCTACGCTGGCTGTGCCCCCTGCCCCGAACCCGCACAGCACACTGAGGGAGCGGGGGGAGTGGGCTCGCCCTCGGTCCCTGTGCCCTGCCTCATGCTGTCTCGCAGAGGGGCCAGTCAGGTGCTCCCCGTGGGGTTTTGGGGGAGCTGTGTCTCAGAGCCCCCCCACCTCCCCGCCGTCGGGCAGCCTCTCGGGGCTCACGTGGGGCGTGGTGGCCCCTGGAGTGCCTGGAGCTCCCACCTGTACTTCGTCAGACTGTGTCCTCCAACCCCTACCTGGGGGACGGCCGCGGGGCTGCCGCGCTGCGCCTCTTGAACGTCCTGCATCACAGCATTCACCCTTCGCTGGGGCAGCGCTGGGCGACCACCATTCCCCTGCTGCTGGAGCATCTGGATGGTGAGCCACAGGGACGTGGGTGGCCCTCCTCCCCCTCTGACCCCATGTTTGCCAGTTTGCGTCCGGGTTGGCTTTTGGGGACCAGAGTTTTTTAAGTTGGAAGAAACGGCCTCCATTGAGTCTCAAGGACATGGGGCTGGAAAGGTGTCCCTGCTGGGTGTCACCCAGGAGCATCTGGGCTGTGGGAGCCGCCTGTCCCGAACACTGGGCGCGACCTGTCTGGAAGGCGCTGGGCAGGGACCTAGGCCTGGGTCTCTGAATGCCACTCCTACTTGCCGGGACGGGCCAGGCTGACCACGTGACTGGTCATTTCAGGATGTACTGAAGAAACCCTGTCCCAGAAGGAGTGGGAGGAGAAGCTCCTGGCGGTGAGAACGGGGAGACCGAGGGTGTGGCCTGTGTTGGGCGTGCAGGGCTGTCGTGGGTCTGGACAGCTCAGGGCAGGACATGCTAGTGGGCACCTCCAGGGTCGTGATGCCCGCCTTGACCTTGCAGTGTGGCTGGGGGCGGGGCGGGGCGGCAGGTGGGTGTCTCTGGGGTGAGGACTGTCTCCCGCCCTCCACACACTGCACACGCTGCCGAGACAGGGCCACCGTGTTACAGGGGCTCTGAGCTTCTCCAGCCCAGGAGCCTTCTGTCCTGCCTCCTGCCTGGCCCATTGCACGTTTGGCCGCCCAGGGTGTGCCCTGCCGAGGCTCAAAGGTCGTCTGCAGACCGTGCAGAGCCACGGCACACGACCACCCCGAGGTCACTGCGTGTGACGTCTTCGGGCCCCAGTTCCCTCCCCAGCCAGCCCCGTGAAGGCTGCGCTCCGGGCTCCTCACCACCGTGGCCCCTGCCCACAGTTCCTTCGGGACACTCTGGCTGCTGCGTCTGACAACACGTGGACCTGCCAGCTGAGCCTGGAGATGTGCAGACAGCTGTCCTGCTATGACGCGGAGCCCCAGGAGAAGGTGCGCAGGGGGGGTGCCCTGGGAGGAGGGGTCCTGGGTGTGGTCCTAGGCTCCCCGCTTCCTATGCCTTGACTCTGGGGCACTTTCTGCCTGAACCTGTCTCTGGTGGCCTGTGGGCCTGACAGAGCCTCCGCCTGGTGGCTGACGGCTGGGAGAGGCACGAGCCCGTTTTCCCCACCTCCCGCTCCTCAAGACGCTGCCCAGAACTCACCTGGTCTTTGTGGTGGCCACTGGCGTGGGCTCCCGACAGCCCCTACCACGTCTGGTTGGCGCTCCCGCACCCGGGCCTCAGGCACAGCCGTGCTCCTCCGCTCTGTTGCAGAACTTCCTGTATAAATGCATTGGAACCACGCTGGGTGCCGCCTCGAGCAAGGACATGGTGAGGAAGCAGCTGCAGGAGCTGCTGGAGACCGCCAGACACCAGGAGGAGACTGAGCGTGAGGTGGCTGCCGCCCCCCGGGAGGCCTCTCTGACCCGCAGGCACTCAGCGCATGCACGGTGCCTGTGTGTGCAAGGATGTGTGTGCCCTGGCCCAGGCGTGAGCGCACCCGTGTGCCTCCTAGGGCCTCGCCTGTTGCTTTGGGATCTGTGCCATCTCTCACCTGGATGATGTCCTGGCCCAGCTGGAGAACTTCATGAGGTCGGATGTGTTCAGAAAATCCACAGGCATTTTCAACATTTTCAAGGTACAGGGGTCGGGGCGACAGCTAGGGGGGCCTCTGGGGCGGGACTGGCCTGTGCTGTGTCTTGGCCTTGGTGCCGTGATTGTGGCCCTGGGGCTGGGCGTTCCGGAGTTCCCTGGGCTCGGGGTCCCCTGCAGGTTGGGGGTGGTCCACACTTCCTTGTGGATGGGTCCAGTGTGGGGGGCAGCCCCCCAGCTGGTAACAAGGAGCAGGCAGCCCTCTGCTAGCGATGGGCTCTGATGGGCCTGTCCTCCTGCTGCCTGTGTGTCCTCTGCCCCCGGGGCCAGTGGCGGCTACATTCCTGGGGAAGCGCGATTCAGGAGGCACAGACCGCCGCCACCTCCATGGCAGCCCTTGTGGCCAGGTTTTCTGTCTCTCGGTGCCTGTTGTAATTTCAGAATCCGCGGGGGTCCAAGGATGGAGGGGCTGCAGTGCAGCCACCAGAGAGAGACAGGGACCCTGCCTCTGGCCCTTCTGTTGCCTCTCATCCCACTCTCCCTTCTGCATGGTCCCCAACTCGGTCCTTTCCCTTCTGCCACATGGTCCCCAGCGGGCCTGAGCCTGGCCTGCCTGTCCTGTTCTGCTGTCCCCGCCGGAGGGACTCTCTCTGGGGTCAGGTGGCACCGTCCACCCCTTCGGTGATGCCTCAGACGTTGCTGATCAGCTCTGCCCTTCTTCCAGAGGGACTTGGGACTCTGTTGGGGGGCATGGAATGTACTCTAACTGAGGCCCTGCCAACTCCTCTGGCCTCTCAGGACCGAAGTGAGAACGAGGTGGAAAAGCTGAAGAGCACCGTGATCCTGTGTTACGGCCACGTGGCGGCGCAGGCCCCCCGGGAGCTGGTGCTGGCCAAGGTGGAGTCGGACATCCTCCGGAATATATTCCAGTACTTCAGCACCAAGGTGGGCGCCCGGCACACCGCCGGTGCAGGGGTGCTGGAGGGGGCTGCCACCAGGGTCGCATGTGTTAATTCCTGTCACTTTTGTTGTTCAGGTTCTGGGAATAAAGGTAGAGACCAAGGTACAGTGTGTAGGAGTTAAGTGGGGACTATGCCTTTTCTCTCTTCTCTGGGCTGGGCTGGCTGTGAGCTTCAGGGGCAGAAGCCAGGGGGACAGGCCCCGGGGCTCCCTGCTCCCAGTCCACGGGGATAGCTTTCTGGAGCATCGCACCAGGGCCTGTCCCCACTCACCTTGGAGCAGTGGCCCTCCGCTTGCGGCCAGGATGGGGGCCCAGGAGCTAGTGCTCTGGCCTGGGCCCCGATGGCGGGTGGACAGAAGGATGGACTTCGGAGCGGCTGGGTGGCAGGCCCTCGGGCTGGGGCTCTGCTCCCTGATGCTCACGGGGCTCACCTCTCGGTGAGTTCTAAAGCCAGTGATGACTGTCAGGCCCTCTGACCTCACTAACATGCCGCCTCTTAGGGCTCTCTGGCACTAACGTGGTCACACCTCCATAGGAGCAGCCGGGCTTTTCCCTTGAAGAGCAGACCCTCTCGGGTCTCCCGGGGTTGGCAGGGGGGCAGGATATTCTGATAGTTGTCTCTTTTTCTGGCCCTTCGTGTCCCCAGGACAGCACCCTGCACCCCCTTTCCTGAGCACCCCCAGAGGCCGAGTTGGTGGGACAGGCAGGGGTCAGCCCCACTCTGCTAGGGCTCTTCTCGGGCGCGCTGCCTCCTCCTCCCACCTTGACAGACCGCTCCAGCCACTGCAGGGTGCAGGGGATGCAGAGCACGCCGTCTGCCCTGGCCAGGCAGAGAGCTGGGGGCCGCAGGGGCGCCGTCCCAGGCCCCCTGAGAGTCCCTCAGGGAGGAGCGTGTGCGGCTGCGGACGGAGGACTGAGGGGAGGCCATGTGGTCCGGCCCGTGTCACCGCGGGCGGCCACCCATTCTGGGTTCGGCGGCCACCCTATCAGGGCGGAGCCGTGCTGTGGGCGTGGGCGTGGGCGTGGGCGGCCTCCAGTAGCCCAGTGTGCTTACAGGACCCGGCCCTGAAGCTGTGTCTCATCCAGAGCGTGTGCATGGCCAGCCAGGCCATCTGCAGCAGCGCACAGGCTAGCTCCTTCCACTTCTCCCGGAAAGCGGAGCTGGTGGCTCAGATGATGGTGAGCGCTGGCCAGGGCCTGCCGGCTCCGAGGGGGGCTCCGACGGCGCTGCCGCAGACAGGGGAGGCGGGCCTCCGGGGGGCTGGGGGCACGTGCCGCGAGGGACCCCAGCACCCAGTCGGCCCAGCACCCAAAGCCAGCGCCAGGCAGATGGCTGACCGGGGGAAAGCAGGTGCTTTGGCCCAGGGCTGAGTCACGGGACTGGCCCCCCCAGGAGTTCATCAAGGCGGAGCCGCAAGACTCCCTGAGAACGCCCATTCGGAAGAAGGCCATGCTCGCCTGCACTTACCTGGTGTATCCTTTTGTCCGGGTGTGAGGGGGAGCCTCGGGGGAGCTGTCTGCTTATGTGCTCTCTGGACGAGGGGCGTGGCGTGCGTGGGGCCGGAAAGACCTGGGGCCCTTAACTCTGGGTTCAGCCCCCTGGACCCAGCGCTGGATGAGCAGGTGCAGGTGGACATGATCCACAGCTGTCTGCACAGTGTCCTGCCTGTGCCGCCCGAGCCCGAGGGGGAGGGTGACCACCAGGAGGTATTGCCCTGCATCTGTGGGGGGCAGTGGGCAGGCCGCGGGGGATGCGCCAGGCTCACTGGTGTGGCTGGGACCCATCTCCTCTAGTCCCTGTACCTGGACACCATGCACACCCTTGAGGAAGTGCTGACGAGCCTCCTTCGGCGAAACATGACCCCCCAGGGCCTGCAGACCATGGTGGAGGTGTGCAGTGAGTGTGCGCTGCCCGGGGGTGGGGGCACGAGGTGGGGAGCGCCCACCTGGCCGCTGGCCCCCTGCCTGCTTCTCCTGGCTCTCCCTGCCACGGGGGCCCTGGGGAGTTCGGTGCTCTCTGCAAGTGCGTGGTGGGGGCGGGGGGCAGCACCCCCTCCTTCCTGGGCAGGTGTGCAGATGGGCTGAGCCCAGATGGGAGCTTCTACTCCCCTCCGCTCCACTGCACGGCCCTGGGATGGAGAGAGCCTGCAGGCGCCCCAGGTGGGAGTTCCTGACCGTCCAGGGCTGTCCAGATGGCAGAGTGGGCAGGCAGTAGCCAAGCTGCCCCCCTCGCTGCCCTTCCTAGCAGTTGCAGGGGTGGGACTGACCTGCTTCTAAGCCTGTCCCTCTCTGGGCCTGGCTCACTCTGGGTCCACCTAGGGCGGCCACGTCTGCGGACAGCTCTGTCCTAGGTCGGAGCGGGTGACCTGCTCCAACCTGACCCACTGGCCCTTGCAGCCAGGGAGGCTGGCCAGCGGGGATGCTGGCCTGCCCGCGTCGCCCAAGCTCCTGCTTCCCAGGCTAATGCCTGAGCTGGTACCTATGTGAGGCCCCCTCCTCCCCAGCACCTGAGCCCGTGGATCAAGTCCCCACGGGGCCACGAGAGGGTGCGGGCACTTGGCCTGAGTGCCTGTCTGCTGCAGTACTTCCTGGAGCACCTGCACGTCAGCGTGAGTGCCCCGCGGCGGCCCTGCAGCCACTCCCCTGCCCTGGCCCTGTTCCTGGGTCCCTTGGCTTGGGGACTGCTGGGTGTGGCACCCGTGTCCCAGAGCACCCTACCAGCTTCCTGGCCCTCTTCTGGCGGTTGCCCTGAGCTCATCCCATGTTCCACAAGTCCCACCGTCCTCTTTCTGGGACCGTGGACAGAAGACCCCTCGGGGCTGGCCGCTCAGTCTGACGGTCATCCTTGTCCTCAGGAGCCCGTGCACCCGCTGGCATGATGGGTGGTGTGTCCCCTACACGAGGGGAAGAGTGATGGGGACTGGGGTCAGAGAGGGTGAGGGCGCTCGAGGCAGAAGCAGCACTTCGGGCAAAGGCAGGGGGACCCTGAGCACACGGAATACTGTGGAAAAGCCAAATATTGCAGAGTGGCCGGAGTGGATGGGCAGGGGCTTGTTCTAAGAAGTGCACATTGTTATGCATTTTAATACTTGCTGGGGTGAAGGAGCTCTTGCTACACTTTGTCAGTTTCATGGTGGTTCTTACAAGGTCATCAGTCCAGGTGATTTTAGGATAAATTTGACACAGTCCTAAAATATTCCTGTTGTGATTTTGGATTTTGGTAGGAATTGCATGGAATTGACGGATTAATTTGTTGGGCAATAGCATCTTTTATTTATTTTTTTAAAGATTTTAAATTTATTTGAAAGGGAGAGGGCAGAGCAAGTGAGAACACAAGCAGGGGGAGTGGGAGAGGGAGAAGCAGGCTTCCCGCTGAGCAGAGAGCCCTACGTGGGGCTCGATCCCAGGACCCCGGGATCATGACCTGAGCCGAAGGCAGACGCTTAACGACTGAGCCACCCAGGCGCCCCCAAGAGCATCTTTTAGTAATGGGTCTTTCCATCCAGGCCCCTCAGATGCACGGCCCGTGTCTGCACACGGCCACACAGGCTGGTTCGAGAGGTTTTGTTGCTTTTGTCAGCGTAACTGTTTCTGCAGCCGCATTTACTAATTGCTTATTGTCGGGATATATGAGAAGTGTGGACTTGTGGATACTTAGCAGGGAGGTCGTTTATAGGATTCTTTTGTTATTTCTGATGAGTTTTTGTTAACGCTCTTGCACTTCCAGACACACAGTTGTGTTGTTTACAGATGCTGATAATTCTGCTCTTTTCCCCCAGTACCTGTGTCTCTGAGCCCCTCCTGTCCTAGTGCTTCCAGAACGAGGCGCACACGGCGGCCCCTGGTCTTTAGATAGAGTTTCACTGCTCGTTACTTCTGCTCGTGTCCTGGGAGCATCTGTTTTACTGAGGATGTTTCTTGTGGTTGTTTCTCTTGTGTGTGTTTGTTAACACACCCAAACTTTCATTCTTTACCTGGCCAGATCTGTTGTGTGTGCCTAGGTGGGCTTTTCCCACTCAGATTCTTCCATGGCCTGCTTTTCACACAATCCCAGTCCAACTAGAGTTCACCCTTGTCACCATGAGGTGACAGATGTGTGACCTCGCTGGGAGGAACTGCAGCTGGCCCCCCGAGGTGCTCTGCCCAGCATGCCGGCCTCCCTCTACTGAATACTCACTTCAGCTGGCAGCTGGGCTGAGGGCTCTCAGGCAGAGTCCTGTGCTTTCTTAAGCCTGTGCATGGGCAGGGCCTGTGGCGGGGGGGGCAGGAGGCTGAGGGGTGTGTAAGTGATGCCACAAGGCCCAGGGCAGGCAAGGCCATTGGCTTAGAGCAGAGTGGGCAAGGCTCTGTATCTGAGGGGTGAAGACCGGGACCCAGCTAGGAGGAAAGGGAATCTCTTGCAGCCCCTCACCTGACAGGGGGCCTGCTTTCTAGGGAAGAGAGCTCCCCACAGCTATCAGCCAGGATCAGCAGGGCCCTGCCCCCCTCTGCTATCTTGTGGGGACTCCCCCTTTATCTCCTGATCGTCCCTCTGTCTGCACACACCTACTTACCTGGCCCTCCTCTTAGGACCCCTCCTCCTCCGGGGCGGGGGGGAGGAGCTCACCAAGGGGCTGTACTGGCCACATTCCTGCCCATATCTGGGTCCAGGTGGTCCAGGTGGTCCCTGCCCACCCCTGGCATCCGCAGGGTCCCGGTCCCCCTCTCTGGCTACCCCCCGAGTGTCTCTGCAGGACCCTCCCCCTCTGCCTCTACAGGCCCTGGTGCCCTTCCACAACCTGGGCGTCCTCATAGGCCTCTTCTCCCCTCGCTGTGCGGACCTGTGGCCTGCCACCCGCCAGGAGGCTGTAAGCTGCGTGTATGCCCTGCTCTACCTGCACCTGGGCTACGAGGGTGAGCCCCGGCTGGGCAGAGGTGCTGGAGGGGTGAGGGGCCGAGGCTGGGCCTTAGGGGCCAGGGAAGTGCCTGCCCAGCTCCACTCTGCATCCTGTCTCTGAAGGCTTCTCCCGCGACTACCGGGATGATGCGATTGAGCGGCTCCTCACCCTCAAAGAAGGACTCGCGCACCCCGACCCTGCCATCCTCTTCCACACCTGCCACAGCATAGCCCAGGTACCTGTGGGAGCAGCCACAAAGGACGGGAGCGGCCAGCACTGGGGGGCGCAGAGAGGGGCTCTCTGAGCAGGCAGTACCTTGCATGTCCTGGGCTCGGCAGGGTGCTGGCAGGGGCAGCGTGGGGCTAGTGGGCACGGCGCCGAGACTGGGCACAGAGGCAGGTGTCATTCAGACAGTGAGCTGTCCGGCACCGCCTCTGGCCAGCACTGATTCCCTCTCCCTGGGGTCTACCCTCTGAGGCCCAGCAGCAGGGGTGTGGTCAGGAGCTCGGCGGCGACTCCAAGGAGCTGAGAAAGCCGCCCCAGCCTCTGCCATGAGTACCCATGCCAGGGCAGGTCTCATCTTCCATTTGGTGTCTGGAAATGACCCTCGGGGTCCGGAGGCTGGCTCCCCTACAGGAGGAAGAAGGGAGGGTCTTACTCAGACGCTGGGAGGCGAAGACCCAGTCCTAGGCCAGTCCAGGTGGAGTGGCAAGGATGTGTGTGGCTGGGGTGAGACGTGGAGCATGTCCAGCCACCTTTCTGCGCGTGGCAGTGTGTGTGGTTTGGTGACCTCCTCCAGCCTGGGTGCTGCTTCTCCACTTGGACGGGGGCTCTGCTGGGCCGAGAGGGCGAGGAGGGCACTGTTGGGTGGGCTGTGCTACCCTCTGCCCTTGACCCTAGTCTGGAGAGCTCCGGAGCCTCTGCGGCCTCCCCCCCCCCCCCCCGCCCCCACCGGCCAGGAGGGGCCTCCCGCAGGGCGCTCGGACCACCTTCCAGGGGCCGGGGTCAGGTAGGCCCTGGGGGCCGTGTCCGCAGCCTGGCCGGGCTTCAGGGCTTCAGTGCGGACGAGGCTCCAGTGTGAGCCACCACCCGACCCTGGCGCTCCGGACAGGGCGAGGAAGGCTGGAGGAGGGGCGTAGGCGGGCGGAAGTGGGGCAAGCCCTCCGGGCAGCCCCAGACCCGGGGGTGTTGTGTCTGGGAGGGCGCTGGCCCCCACCCTCTTAGTTCCTCTGACACAGCCGTCCTCCTAGATCATTGCCAAGCGCCTCCCGCCAGAGCAACTCATCAGCCTCTTGCTGACCATGTTTGAGGGGCTGGGAGACCCCGACAAGAACTGTTCTCGGGCCGCCACGGTCATGATCAACTGCCTGCTGAAGGAGCGAGGCAACATGCTCCTGGAGAAGGTGAGGGGGCGGGGCGCGGGCGGGGCGGGGCCGCGGTGTGGGCGGGGCCCGCGGGCGGGGGCGGGCCGCGGTGTGGGCGGGGCCCGTGGGGCGGGGGGGCGGGTCGCGGTGTGGGCGGGGCCTGCGGGGCGTGGGCGGGCCGCGGTGTGGGCGGGGCCCGCGGGCGGGGCTGCATACGTTGGGGCTCCTGCTGTCTCTGCTCCCGTCCCCTTGCCCTGCGGGCCTAATAAGGACAAGTTTTTCTCCTCTGATTGAAGACAAGTTAGAATTGGGTACAAGTAACTGCTGAGAAATTGAGGGGGAGGGGGAAGGAAAGGGAAGATGCAGGGGTAAGGTGCAGGGAGCCCTTTGGCGAGTGGGCACTGGCTGGGCGCTCTGCCCCAGTACCAGAGAGTCCCGCAGCCGGCTGGCCCAGAGAGGTCATGCCCAGGACGCTCAGGTGCCGCCCGCCTCCTTACGCCCGCACGTTCACCCTGTCACCTCTGCGTCCTCTTGGCGGGAGCTCAGGTGGCTGTCTACGCGGCTCCCAAATGTGCATTGGCAGCAGCTCTGTGTCCACCGTGTGGGTCGACAGACAGGTCTTGTAGGTCTGAGGCAGGCTCCCAGGGCCCGGGGGCTGCTGGACTGCCTGCCCTGTCGTATGCCTGGAAAGCATACGAGCAGAGAACTTGTACACGGCCCTGGGAGTCCCCCCAGAGGTGCACGAGCAGAGCATCCCGCCAGTTCCTGAGCCTCTGGTCCCCACCCGACACCCCATAGGGTGTCATCGTCTCCCAGCAGCACAGAGCACAGCCTTCCAGGGATAAGTCACCCACCTGTGCCCTTGTGTGCAGCGCCTCCCAGTGTTAACATGTGAGGTCATGCGTGTTGTTGCCTCGTTCAGTCACACCTCACTCCTTCCTGCGTGTGCACTGTGGTTCATTCATCCGCCGGCCTCAGTTCCCAGTCTGGGCTGTCTTGACACGAACTGTCAGAGTCCAGGTCCTTCGGACATAAGGGTACGTGTCTGTTGGGGACATACCGGTGGAAGGACCTGGGCCTGCAGGAGAGGCCCGTGTGTAGATGTCCCAGGTGGCCTTCCAGGCAGGGCACAGCTCACCTCCTGCCAGCAGCAAGGAGGGCTCTGGTGTGCCCCATCGTCGTCAACACTGTGATTCCCACCCTTTCTGCTGGGTGTGTCAGGACTTCACGTAAGAGTTCAGTTTGCGCTTCTCCGGTGGCTGATGAAGTTGAACACATCTGTACGTGTTTACTGGCTACTCAGGTGTCCTCCTTCATGAAGACACCAGTGTTCTGGGGCGCCTGGGTGGCTCAGTCATTAAGCATCTGCCTTCGGCTCAGGTCATGATCCCAGGGTCCTGGGATCGAGCCCCGCCTTGGGCTCCCTGCTCGGTGGGAAGCCTGCTTCTCCCTCTCCTGCTCCCCCTGCTTGTGTTCCCTCTCTCACTGTCTCTCTCTCTGTCAGATAAATTAATGGGATCTTTAAAAAAAAAAAAGCACCAGTGTTCTGCCCGTGTCTCTTCTGGGTTGTCTGTGCTTTTCTTATTTTTTTTTTTTTAAAGATTTTATTTATTTGAGAGAGAGAGAATGAGAGACAGAGAGCATGAGAGGGAGGAGGGTCAGAGGGAGAAGCAGACTCCCTGCCGAGCAGGGAGCCCGATGCGGGACTTGATCCCGGGACTCCAGGATCATGACCTGAGCCGAAGGCAGTCGCCCAACCAACTGAGCCACCCAGGCCCCCTATGTGCTTTTCTTATTGATTGTGGAAGTACTTTATATGTTCTGAATATGAGTTCTCCGTTGGAGGCAGACACAGACGTATGCATATGCATATATCACAAACGCCTTCTCAGGAATGAACAGGAATTTGTTGATGGAGAAGATGAAAGAGCACTGGGCAGGGCCATGTGACAAGGGAGCTGTGTGGTGACACCTCGTCCGGCACTCGGCACAGGGCTGCAGGGCTGCAGTGGGCGTGGAGGTGTTGGCAGAGTCTGGACTTGGGAGGAGAGCTGCGGCAGGAGTGGGGGAAGAGGGCACAGCTGTGATGGGGTTTGCTGGGTGAAGGTCTGGATTTTATTCTGCATTCAGCGGGGCTCCCCAGGATTTGAGTGGTAGGAGGTGCCCTAGGCCCTGTGTGAGTGAGGCAGGTGGACCAGACCGGAAGCAGCGGCCGCCGGTGTTCCTGGTGAGTGCACACAGGCTGCATCCTGTTTACCTGCTCATCTGTCCGGGGACACTCGAGTTGCTTCCACCTCTTGGCTGTTGCAAGTAATGCAGTGAATGTGCATGTACAGGGGTCTCCTTGTGATCTCGCTTTACGTTCTTTGGGTGAACGAACACCCAGGAGCGGGGTTACTGGATCATACCGTAGCTCTGTTAATTTTCTGAGGAGCTGCCAGGCTGTTCCGCACAGTGACTAGTTTGCACGCCCACCGAGAGTGCACACGGGCCCGTTTCTCCACATCTCCGCCAACGCTTGTTACCTGTCTTGGGCGTTTTGACACTAGCCATCCTGCTGGGTGTGAGGTGGGACTTCCTAATGGTTTTGACGGGGCGCCATCCGCAGGCTCCTAAGCTCGTGGTGGTGGAAGGCGGAGAAGGGCCTTCTGTGGGTCGCAGGGAATGTGCCGGGGAAGCCAAGGGAACAGGACAGACTGGACTCACACGACATGGGGCTAGCGGCAATGCCGACCCTGCGGTAGAGTCGCCCGTGGCCCGGCGGCTCTTCTCCAAGGCCTTTGCCAAGAGAGGTGGAAACAGACGTCCACACGAAGACTCTAGACGCTCACAGCAGTGTTATCCATAATGGCCAAAAAATGGACGCATCCCAAACGTCTGTCAATAGACATAAATAAAATGTGTCCTACCCATACACCGAACGACGATTCGGCAAACTGAGAGGAGTGAAGCCCTGAAACACCTGACATGCGGATGAACCCTGAAAATGTGGTGCAAGATGAAAGAAACGAGTCACCAAAGGCCACATGGTGTGTGAGTCCATTGCTCTGGCGTCCAGAGCAGGCGAGTCCATGGGGACGGACAGACGGTGGGCTGGTGGCCGCCAGGGGCGGGGGGGGTGGCTAATGATACGAGGTTTCTTTGGGGGGCGATGGAAATGTTCTTGGATGGATGGTGGTGATGGTTGCACAACCCTGTGAACACCGTAAAGACCACTGAGTTGCATACCCAGCGGGTGGGCTCTGTGTGGAGAAACCACGGAGCAGGAGAGCGCGAGAAGGCGTGGGGCTGGTAAAGGTGAGACAGGAACTGCCTGGAAGGTATAGGGCGTGCGGGCCAAGCCCCACATGGTGGGCCGTCGGAACGCTGACCCCCCATCCTGGGACAGGACAGGCCCGGCTCACCCCAGCCCCACCCTGGGACCTGCCGCCATGTACTCCAGGGCTCTAGCTGCTGAACAAAATATGTAGAACCAAGGAAAACATCAGAGAAGGTAGATAAAGCCACTGAAACAATTCGAAGGAAATCCCTCTGACAAGCAGAGAACCAACATCCAAAGTGAGCAAAGGAAGAGAAGCAGCTTGCTCCCGTGTGCTGGAGAGCCCGCCCCGAAGCCGCCAGACTCGCCAACATGACGGTGGGAGGGATGCAAAAGTCAGGTGGACTGACAGCACAGTCGCAGCCGAGAGCATGTGCGAGGCGCGTGTCCGGGCCAAGAGCCCGGGAGAACGGAGCGTGTTCAGCAGTGAGCTCGGATGGGAGGTCCTGTGGACGTGACTGCACCCAGCGGGTGTGGGAAACACCGCTCCTGGCTCAACACGTCCTCACTGCCGTCCTCACTGCCGGAACTCCCCTCGGCCGGCGTGTGGAGGACGCGGTTTCCTGTGGCAACTGGCGGCTCCCGTGGACCTGGGGCGGGGCCGGGCGGGGGGCCCCAGCTGGTGGGGCATAGGAGGCAGAGAGGGCCAGGTCAGTGGGAGGACGACCCTGGCGTGAGTGCCGCTTCACAGGCTGCTAATCCACTTTCTGTACCCACAAGTCCTTTGAGAAATGGCAGTGACACCCCCCCGCCCCCCCGCGGCCCAGGTAGGGACCTGTGCCCCCCCCGACCCAGGCACATGGCCTCCCACGCCCTCTCCCCAGCCTTGTCCCCAACATGCCGTTGCAAGATGCTCCACCGCACAAGCAGGCGTGGGCCTGGCCTGGAACGTTCCACCGTCAGAGCCGTGGCCAGGCCCTTCCTGCTGCTCCTGCCGCCCGGGCGTCCAGGGGGTGGCGGCGCACACGGTCTGCGGGCTGCCCCCGTCCGGGGCACTGTGTGCCTGCAGCTGTCTGGTCTGCTGTCCTCTCAGGCTGGCTCTGGCAGCCGCGGATCGCGGTGCTGGGGGCCGGCACCCCCTCCCCGTGGGCCCAGGGACCCACGGTGACGCCATGCCCAGAATAGGACTAGGGTGGGCCCGAGGCACAGGCTGCCTGCAGTCGCACTCTGCCCGCCCCTTCTTGTACCCGATGGCCCCTCTGGCTTCTGGGACCACAGCAGCCTGCCCGCCCTGCCCAGCCATGGCCCAAGAACCAGTGTCCGCTTCCTGGTCCTCCCTGCCCTGGCGCACCGCTCACCTCCTCCTCGCCGGGCGAGGGCGCTGTGTGTGCCGTCCCAGGGGCCAGAGGCCGGTTTCCCTTCCCCGGGGGGTGAGGGCCCCGCAGGGGCTGGTGGCCTCCACGCACACCCCACTGGCCGCCGCCTCCCGTGCCCTGCGTGCCCCCCAGACCGCTGCCCCGTGCTCACGTCGTGCCCCCTCCACCCCTGGCGGGCCTCTCGGGTGCTGTCGCTTCCCACATGGAATCTCGGTCCTCGGGCCAGGACCACGGCGTCTCCGCCCGGGGGCGCCAGCCTCTCGCCTTCTCCCTTTGTGGGGTTTCCCTCCCCATGGCCCTGGCGAGTGGGGCTCACAGCCAGCCGCCCTCCGCAGGCCCCCTGCTCTGGTGGCGCTGGAATGGCTCTGGGTGTGGGTGTGTGCCCGGGGCCTGACCTCCGTGGCCCTTTGCCCGCAGGTGCCCGAGATCGTGAGCGTGCTCCGCTCAAAGCTGCAGGAGACACGGGAGGAGTACGTCCTGCAGGCTGCACGGCACAGCGTGTACCTCCTAGCGTCCCAGCACTGCGCCGCCGTGGTGTCCAGCCTCCTGGGCAGCCCGCTGCCCTTTGACAGGTACGTGGCACCTGCCAGCCTGCCGGGGGGCGGGATGGGACTCCTGCTGCCAGGGCTCCAAGCCAAGGCCCGGCCCAGACACAGGACCTGAGGGTCCCGCCTGTTGCTAGCCCCTCGGCGTTCTGTGCCCCAGCTTGCCCTCTGCGGGGCACGCGCCATCGTGTGTGAGCAGACCCCGTCCTCCGCTGGGGAAGGGTCCCCTCGCTTGCACTCCCAGCAACCCTCAAAGGAGAGGGTCTCTCTCTGCCCGAGGCCTGTGCCCTGGGCCCGCCGTCGCTGTTGGGCGAGGTCTCTGACCTCCCATGCTGGGCTCCTCACCTGCCCCGTGGGGTGGTCCGCGCAGCCCCCTACCCCAGCCGGCAGGTGCTCTCCGTCTGCACCGTGCACGCTCCTCTCCCTGACTCGTGTCGGCTGTGTCTTTGCTGAGGCTCTTGGAGGTGTGCGCCTGGTCAGGACGCCGCTCTTCCTCGCGGGCGCCTCCGGCCTCGGGGTATCTCTTCTAACGTCCTGTCCCCATCGACCTTTCTTTGTCCACCTCGCCTTCCGGCGTAAATGGCTGCATTTCACCGCTGTTGTGGCGGGAGTCCAGCCCCCGCCTGGGACTTCTCTGTCTCCCGTCTTCTTTCTTGATCTTTCTTGTCTCTTTTGAGCTTATCAGGGCCTTTTTTATGAATTTATTTTCCCCTGAATCAGTTCGGAAGTCGTACCCGCTGTTTCTGTTCTTCTAGCAGCTGCCCTGAGAGTGACCCCGTGTGCGCAGAGCCCGGCTCACGAGCACCTCCCTTCGGGCGGCCTGGGCCTTGGCACGTGGGGCTCCCCCGCCCCTCCTCACGGACACGGAAGGGTCTGGCTGTGGCCGGCGGCCCGTCAGGAGCGCCGCGCCCGTGTGCACCCACCGCTTGGCTCTCTGCTCCTCCCTTTGCTTCTCCTTTCACGGAGGCCCCAGATGGGGGCAGGGAAGGTGTCCACCCCCCAGTAGTGCCCGCGTGCCCCTAACTTGAAGCTCCCTGGTGTCCCAGCATCTGACTGCGGCCACCAGACGTGCGCTTGGCTCCATCTTGAACTCCGATAATAGAATCAGTGTAGAAAGGGTCACCCGGCAGTCTTCTGGCTTCCTTGACGAAGCGCTCTGTCGGGGGTGCACATGTTGCGGGGTCGCTGCAGGCAGCTCCCACCCCCGTTTATGCCCAGGAGCGAAACTGTCCCAGCCCAGGGGTCTGCACGCTGCAGCCGCGGGCCAGATCCGGCCGGCCACCTGTTTTTGTCCAAACTGTGAGCTCACGATGGGCTTTAAACTTACGAGTGGTTAGGAAAGAAAACAGTACTACTTCATGAGTCGTGAAAATCATACGTAATTAAAATCTGTCCGTAAGCAAAGTTATTGGAACACGGCGCGCCCGTTTGCTTCCACGTCGGTGTCTCTGGTCGCTTTTGCTCAACAAGGGCAGAGCGACGGGTCCACGGAGGCCACGTGTCCGGGGTCAGAAGTGTGTGGTTCCCCGGCCTGGGTGCAGGTGGGCGGTGGATGGGGCTCCCCAGCAGCCAGGCCCCGTGCCTCCCCCGTGTCCCCATCAACGCGGCACATCCTCACCTCCTGCTGGGCCCCCACACCGCGCTGCTCGGGGCGGCGCCCATGGCACGTGTCACTTTCCTTCAGCTGCAGTCAGTCCCCCGGCGTGTCCTCGGTGAGGGTCTGCAGGCTCCACCGTTCGCCCGGGTGCTCTCCTTGCATGCTCCCTAGAGTCGGGATTCTAGTTTGGCAGGTCCCTCCGTGCGCGGAAGGTGACACGTCGCTGTCTCCGGGCTCCTGCGAGTTCTGAAGGGCGGGCGGGGGGCCGGGGCCAGCTAGCCGCTGGGCCGCTTGAGTCCATGGGCGTCTGTCCTCAGTCCTGCACGCTTCCCAGCCTCTTCCTCTTGGAGCCTCTCCATCCCCTGCTTCACCTCTCCGTCCCTCACGGCTCCTGCGCTGAGTTCGAGAGGACTTGTTCCTGTCACTGTCCCCTTCGTCGTGCGCACAGGTGCGCTGAGGTGGCCCCAGATCCCCGGTCTCCTTTCTGAAGGGTTGCAGCTGCTTTCACAGTTGCTTATCGATTCTTAGAATCTCCAGTTCCCACTAGATGTTGGAAGCGTGTCGTTTCTCCACGAGCACATGAAGCGGGGTCGCGGGCGCCTGGGCGGCTCAGGTCATGTTCCCAGCTCATCAGAGAGTCTGCTCCTCCCTCTCCCCACTCCCCCTGCTTGTGTTCCCTCTCTCGCTGTGTCTCTCTCTGACAGTGAGAGAGGGAACACAAGCAGGGGGCAGTGGGAGAGGGAGGAGCAGGCTCCCCGCGGAGCAGGGAGCCCGATGTGGGGCTCGATCCCAGGACCCTGGGATCATGACCTGAGCCGAAGGCAGATGCTTCACCGACTGAGCCAACCACGAGCACCAAGTCACTATATTTTATTTTTTTAAAGATTTTATTTATTTATTTGACAGAGAGAGAGAGACAGCGAGAGAGGGAACACAAGCAGGGGGAGTGGGAGAGGGAGGAGCAGGCTTCCCGCCAAGCAGGGAGCCCGATGTGGGACTCGATCCCGGTACTCCGGGATCATGACCTGAGCCGAAGGCAGACGCTTAACGACTGAGCCACCCAAGCACCCTAAATAAATGAAATCTTAAAAAAAAAAAGTCGCGCTCACAGGGCCTGGTTCGCACGGTTCGCTCTGGCCGTGTGCTTCTGGCAGCTCCCAGGGGCCCAGGGGCCCAGGGCCCGTGTTCAGGCCGCGACGGTTCCGCCTGCCCTCTGTTGCTGGCCACTCGGCTCCCAGACTCCCGGGGGCAGGGCCGGGTTCTTTGGGATGCGAGGTCAGGGTGCTGTTTCCCGGCCGGCTGGGGTGGAGGCTCGTGGGCGCGTCCGGGGCCGTGGCGTGGCGCCGGCGGTGGCCTGGAGGTGACTGGCCTTCCACCCTGCTCCAGCCACACCTGTATCCTGTGGCGGGCGCTGGCCGTGGAGCCCGGCCTCACCACGCAGGTCCTGGGGCTGCTCCTGGAGAAGATGAGCAGGGACGTGCCGTTCAAGGAGACCCGGGCCTTCCTGCTGAGCAGCTCTCCGGGCCGCGTGGCCACGCTGCTGCCCCTTGCGGTGAGTGGGGCCCCACGCAGCCTTCTCCCTGCTTGTTGCGCAGGCCGGTGAGGGGCCGTGTTGCTGCTGGTGGGAGGAGCCCTCCGGTGGCCTGGGCGCCACCCCTCAGGCACCTGGCAGCTCACGGGGGTGCCGGAGCCAGCCCCGCCTGGAGCCCGGCTCGTAAAGGCCCCACAGGTGTTGGTCCCCAAGGGAAACGACTCCGTTTCATCCTGCGGAAAAAAGTAAGCCTGGCTTGGCAACGTTTCCAGCAGTAAAGCAGCTGTGAGAATTTCCTCCTCCTCCTGCTGTGGAACCGAGCGCAGATGGTGGGAGGCCTGTCCCCGGGGGGGTCACACTGCCCTTGTGGCGGCCTCCTGGCCTCCCGCCCCTGACGGCCAAGCCGGGCTGCGGCCCCGGTCCCGTCTATGCCCAGCCCTCCCCGGGGCCGAGAGCTCCACGCACGCGGGGTACATGCCCGCAGGGGCTGCGGGCTGGCCCGGTTTTGGGGTGCAGGGCCCAGCCTTCACCACAGCCGGCCCCCGGGGGAGGGGTGAGCCTGAAGCGGCCCCTGTCCCCAGGCCACGTGTGCGCTGTATGAGGTCATGAGCGTGCTGGCGTCCGGGCCCGCGGTGCTTGAACTCTACCCACAGCTGTTCACGGCTCTCCTGCTGCGCGTCGGCTGCACGGTGGGCGTCGTGCTGCCACGGACGCTGCAGGCCAAGGAGAGAAGGAGCGCGGGCTCCGCTCCGGCCCCCAGGAGCCTCGAGCCCTGCAGGTAACCGGGTCCTCGCCTGCTGCCCCCAGCACCGCTGCGTGTGAGCGTGTGCGAGGCTGCCCGGCACCCTCCCGGCGGCGAGGGACGGGACGGGACGGGACGGGACAGGAGGGGCGGGCCAGGCGCTGGGGGCTTGGCTCAGGAGCCACTTCGTGCCTGGGGCGCTGGCACCTCCCCCCTTGATGATGCCCCAGGTCGTGCGGGTCTGGGATGGGGGCTGGGGGGGAGGCAGCTCCTCTCCGTGGGGTGGTGCTGGCTTCCGGCAGGCCTGCGGGGGCTCGTGCGACACTCAGGTAGGTCCAGTCCTGCCTCCTTTTGAAGATGGAGCTGTGGGGAGTGTTTGGGGTGCAGGTGGGGCGTGGGGTGAGCCCCCACCTGCAGCCCCGCGTCCTCTACCCCATCAGGGCCACACCTTCAGACAGAAGTTTCCTGCGAGGCGGGCAGACCCCCAGCCGTGCGGGGAGGGCTCGGCACCAGCCCCACAGCGCCGGCCTGCGCAGCCACCCTCCCTCGCAGCTCCTGCTGGGGTTTGGATCCTTGTGGTCTCTGCCAAGTGGGCCCTGGGTCCTGGGGCGGCGCTTGAGGGGAGCTGGTAGGCAGGGCTTTGGCAGCTGAGGCATCGGCCTGCCCGTCCTGGGCCTGCCAGGGAGGCACCTCAGGGCTCCAGACAACTGCCCGGGGCCACAGGGCGACAGAGGAAGCCCGAGTGACGATGAGTTCAGGCTGCCTCCCGACGCGTTGCAGGCCCGCGGGGTCAGAAGCGGCCCTCGGTGGGGGACGGTCGGCATCCGCCCGCCCCCTCCCCACCGCGGAGCCACCACTCACACACCGTCTGGCAGAGGCCGCTCTCCAGAGTCGCCTGGTCCTGCACAGACCACGCGGAAAATGTGAATGGACTGGCAGATGCCACCGGACCGGCCCTGGGCCTTGCACGCTGACTCCCCTCCATGGCCTGGGAGCTGTAGGGCTACAGGCCCCAAAACCCCACCAAGGGTCCCCAGCTGCCACCCCTGAGCTGAGACGTGTGCAGGGCCAGGGACGGGTCTAGAAGTCGGACCACAGGAAAGGCCACATCTGTAAGAATCCTGGGCAGCAGGGTGGACAGGCCAGGGAGGCACCCTTATCTAAACCGTTGAGGTGCTTCTCGGCCACACCTGCATCTCCGCACGTCAGACTTGTCCTGACGCCAGAAACGGCCCTAAACGAGCCGTCTCGGTCACAGGTAGAGCACCTGCCGCCGGCGGAGCACCCCAACGCTGAGGCCGGGACCCGGCTGGGTCACATGCGCTGCCCCGGGGCAGGGTCTCGTGTGTGAGGTGGCCACACGGGGGGAGGTCAGCGCCAGGGCCAAGGTGCTGTGGCCCCAGGGCCCCCCGTGTGTGGTCCCACGGCCCTGGTGAGCGCGCTTTGGGCCCCAGGCTTTGCTGAGGTTCTGCCGGGTGCCGGGCCGATGCTTGCTGTCCCCCGAGAGCCAGGCCTGTGGGGTCCCGCCCCCTTACAGCCCCGAATGCTTCTGCCTGAGCTGGGGGAGAGGCAGATGCTAAATCCCAGCTGGGCCCTGGCGCCTCCGGCCCCTCCTGCGAGGCAGACAGGAGAAGCAGGTGCCTGCAGGGCTGGGTGAGGGCGGCGGGTACGGTTGCACCTGCTGTCCCACCCGTGCCGGAGCCTGTAGAGGGCGCTGGGCGCGCCCCACCAGCTGCCCCAGCTCCTGGCCCCACCCTGGCCCCTGGGCACGGGGGGGTGTCTTTCTCACCTGCCCAGAGCCCCATCTGCCATCCCTTCCCTGGACTCTGGGGTCTCCCGGGGAGGGTATGGCTGTGCCCATGTGAGCGGGGGCTTCCGAGGTGCAGAACAGACTGCATGGGGGCCCACCGCCCTCGGGTGCCTGTACCCTGGGACCCTGCTCCACCAGCCGCCCACATCGGGTCCCCCCTTGATGATGCCCCAGGTTGCGCGGGGGGCGCTCGTCCAAAGGCCCCGCACAAGTGAGACCCTGACCTGCCTTTGGCTTCGCTTTTTTCGACAACTTTCCATGTTCCTTTTTTTTCATTTCTTATTTTAATTACATGGAGGTCTTCGAGGCGAGTGAAATACCTGTAGGTCGTTACCCTAACAGTGCTGTGGGGCCTTGGGGACACTGCCTGCAGCGAGCCCCCACCGGCCCGTCGTGGGGAGAGGGGTGGCCAGAGGGCCCAAAGCCACCTCGTGGTGCCCAGCTTGAGGGGAGAGAGCCCGAGGGCCCCCCGGAGGGTGCTGCTGGCAGGGCACAGGCCAGGCAGCCCCCGGATCCATGCCCGCGTGTCCCCGCAGCTCTGCCGTGGACGCTCTGCAGGCCGTGCTCCTTCGGGGCGGCAACGAGGAGGTGGTGCAGCGCATGGAGCTGGAGGGAGGCTGGCGGCTGCTCGGGACCTCGGCGGGGCACGAGGAGGGGGTCGCCCGGCTGGCCAGGTTCAGTTCGGGCCACGTTTGGGGCACGTGGGAGGCTACCGGAGGCGGCCGTGGGGTCCGGCTGTGTTGCCGATTTGGGGGCAGGGGGCGGGGGGCGGGGGCCTTTATGGAGGCCTGGTGAGGTGACCGAGGAGGGCTTGGCGGCCGGATGGGAGGCAGGGGCAGCCCTCACGTCCGCGTGGGAGTTGGCTTGTGGGGAGCTGCGGGGCAGGCCGAGGCCCCGGCACTCACACTGTGCGGCTGGCCCCCTTCCCTAGCGCCATGGCCAAGTTTGCCGGCCCCCGGCTGCCCCTGGTGATGAAGGAGCTCGTGTGCACACAGAGCAGCGCGTATGAGATCCAGCGGGTCACCTCCACGGGATTCCTGGCCGAGGTAGCGGCCTGCCGCGGGGCCTGGGGGGCGGGGGACGCCCAGTGGGGGGAGGCCTCGGCTGTGCCGGCCGTGCCAGGCCCCCCGCGGGGACAGGCCCTCCGCCTGGGCCCCAAGCCTCCCTTGGCAGCCCCCCTGTGGCTGACCGTGCCAAAAACCTGCCCAAAACGTGCCCGGGGTCAGGAGGCGGAGCGAACAGGGCCTCTGCCCATCCGACTGGGCCAGGGTGGGGACAGGCCCCTGGGGTCAGAGGCGGGGGGCGGTCACAGCTCCTCTGCCTCCAGCTGCTCAGCAGCAGCGTCGCGGACGACCTCCTGCTGCTGGAGCCCCTGCTGCACAACTTGGCGGCCCGGCAGAAGGACCCGTGTGCCAGCGTGCGGCGGCTGGTGCTCCGAGGCCTGGCCAACATTGCTTCCGGCTCCCCGGACAAGGTGGGCGGTGGGCACGGGCGTGGCCCAGTGGGTGGCACCATGGGGGCAGGGCTCCGCGCCCTGGGGACACAGCTGAGGGCGCCCCCCTCCCCCACCAGGTGCGGGCCCACGGCCCCCAGCTCCTGACAGCTGTGATCGGCGGGCTGGACGACAGGGACGACCCTCACAGCCTGGTGGCCCTGGAGGCCATGGTGGGCCTTGCAAGGCTGTTGGACCTGGCGGAGCCCCAGGACCTGCGCCCCTTGCTGCTGCATGTCGCCATCCGTATCCGGCCCTTCTTCGACAGCGTAGGCTGGCCCGGGCATGGGGGCACCGAGAGGCCTGGCCGCACCCCCCGCCCCGAGCCTCGAGCCCCGGCTCTACCCTGCTCCACCCTGCTCCCTGGGCCCCGCCCCCGCAGACCCTCTGGCGTGCAGGGCCGGGGTCCTGGCCTCGAGCTGCCCCAGCGCCCCCTGGCACGGCCCCCGTCTCGTGAGGGCTCGTTCCTTCCCGCCCCAGGTGCCCAAGACACAGGGACGAGGAGGGTGGCGCAGGGAAGGGGCCCGAGGCCGCACTGGCTGACCCCGGCCCCTCCACCCCCACCCGCCAGGAGAAGATGGAGCTCCGTTCCGCCTCCATCCGCCTCTTCGGGCACCTGAACAAGGCCTGCCACGGGGGCTGTGCGGACACGTTCCTGGAGCAGGTGGTTGGCGGGCTGGTGCCCCTGCTGCTGCACCTGCGGGACCCCCAGGCCCCCGTGACCAGCGTGAGTCTCCAAAGGGCACGGGTGGGCCAGGCCCGGCTCACGCAGGGGGGCTCACCGGATGTCCCACAGGCCTGCAGGTTCGCCCTGCGCATGAGCGGCCCCAACCTCAAGTGTGAGCAGCTGGCGGCCGCCCTGCAGCAGCACCTCCAGGACGGGCGGGGCCTGCACTTCGGAGAGTTCCTCAACTGCACCTGCAAGCTCCTGGTGAGGCCCGCAGCCTGGGGGGCGGGGCGGGGCGGGGCGGGGCGGGGCGGGCCTGCCCGGGCTCACGGCCTCTCTGCAGATGCACCACTTCCCAGACCTGCTGGGCCGCCTGGTGAGCACCAGCCTGTTCTACTTCAAGAGCAGCTGGGAGGATGTCCGCGCTGCCGCCCCCATGCTCACAGGTGAGCGGCGCCCCTCGGGCCCCTTCTACCTGCGCTGGACCCCGCCCCCGCCCCGCCCCTGACCCCGCCCCTGCCCACAGGGTTCCTGGTGCTGCACGTGGAGGCCGAGCACCGGCCACAGGTGGACCTGGAGCAGCTCACGACAGGTGAGCCCCGGGCACGTCCCCGCCCCCACCCCCCAACCTGTCGGGCTGCATGGGGCCTCACTGACCTGTGGGCACCGGGGGGACTAAGTGATTTTCCTGGATTTCAAGGATTTTTCCCCTGTCACTGGTGACCTCATCGTCTCTAGTAATTCACGGAAACTTCTTAACTGTTCCAAAAGAGCTTAAAAAACACTAAAAAAGGAAAAACTATCTTTCCGTTGGCTCCCAGGCGCTCCCGGCAGAGGCCTGTCTTAGGAGGGCGGTGGGCGGGTGGCCCCCGCACAGGGCGGGAGGGGGGGTGCACCATGGGGTCCTGGCCCCCCAGGCGCGGTGCACCGGGCGAGGATGGGCGCAGCGCGAGCTGAGGCTGGGTGGCGGGGTGTTGGCAGGGGCCCCGGGCTCAGGCCGCTCTCCAGAGGGCGCGCAGGCAGTCCGTGGCAGCGGCCCCCTGCCCCCCTGCCCCCCAGCGCTCCAGCTGCTGCTCAAGGACCCAGCCCCCCTGGTGCGCATGAAGGCTGCCGAGACGCTGGGCCGCCTGGTGAAGTTCGCCTGAGGCTCCCACAGCAGCACCATCCCTACAAGCAGCAGGGGCCTGGGCCTGAACCCCAAGATGGGGCCCTGAGGGGCCCCCTGCCGGAGACGGAGCGGGGAGCTGCCGGCGCCCCTGCCACGAGTCGAACGCCTGCCCTTCTGGAGGAGGCCGCTGGAGGCCACTGTGGGGGGCGGGGGGGCAAGCTGCTGTACCCCCCACTCCCGTCTCCAATAAAGCCATTGGCTCCTCAGCAGGTGGCTTGGGAGTGCAAGGACCTAGCCTATCCGTGGGGGGCAGGGCAGCCGGGAGCCGCTGCACCCCGTTTAGGAAGGCCCCACGCTGTGGGAGGGCCGCTGGTCAGGAACCCCGAATCAAGGTCACACCAGCAGCCGGCGGGGAACACCTGTATTGAGGGTCCTGAGCACGCGTGCGCCGCACCCCACCCCCCCCCGCCCCCCGGCGGACACCGGGCGGCCTAGGTGAAGAGGCGGACGGTGCCGTCGGCCCCCGAGGAGAAGACCCATGGCTGGGTGGGGTGGAAGGCCACGTCCAGGACCCCCAGGTCTCGGGTCAGCACGTGTCCCCGCAGCACCTTCACCGGCACCAGCAGCGGGTTCTGCAGCAGGTCACTGTGGGGGAGGGGAGCAGAGGGCCTCAGAGTGGGGGGTGGGGGGCGGGACCCCCAGCTGGGCAGGGCACACAGGGCTCAGCACTCACTTGTACACCATCCCGTGGCAGACGATGATGCTCCCGTCGTCGGAGCCGGACGCGAACAGTGGGTACCGGGTGTGGAAGGCCACGGCCCTGAGGGCCTTCTTGTGGTGTCTGGAGAGCAGGGGCTCAGTGAGGGCAGGGGAGGGCAGGGGAGGGCCCGCCGGCAGCCGCTCCCCCCGCCACTCACCTCAGCACCCTGTACGGCTCACAGGAAAGGTCCAGGTCGAACCACACGAGCTTGCTGTCGTAGCTGCCGCAGATGACATTGTCCCCTGGGGGCAGACGGGGCGGTGGGGACCTGCGGGGCGCACGCTCCCCTGCCCCCCTGCCCCCGCCCACCCTCACCTGCAGGGCGCACGCTCCCCTGCCCCCCTGCCCCCGCCCACCCTCACCTGCGGGGCGCACGCTCCCCTGCCCCCCGCCCCCGCCCGCCCTCACCTGCGGGGTGCACCGCCAGGCTGGACACCCACTTGCAGTTTGGCCTTAGCTTCTTGGTGAGCTCCTGGCGCAGCAGGTGGTAAAGGCGGATGCTGCGCTGGGAAGCCACCAGCAGGAAGGGCCGCAGGGGGTGGAAGGCCACGCGCTGCACCTGTCCGTGGCTACGGCGGAAGGGGCTCTGGCTGCGGTGCCGGCTTAGCTGGTGGATCAGCACCTGCGTGTGGCCCGCGGTGGCCAGCACCACGGCCAGGTAGTCCCCACGTCCATGCCAGGTCACCTGTGTCACCGGCTGCAGGAGCAACACTGGCTCAGCTGGGCCCTCCCCTGCCCCTCCATCCTAACCCACACCCCCAGCGGCCCCCACCCCACACCTTCCCGTGGCAGATGCGCAGCCTCAGGCCCGCCTGGCGCTCGTCCTCCGAGGCCTCCAGCCAGCGGGCGGGCTGCACCGCGGGCTCCTCGGGCGGGATGAAGGCACTCAGCAGCTGGTCCGTGCCGCTCACCACCAGCCGGTCCCCCAGGGCCGGGTTCAGCAGCAGCACCGAGTCCTCTCTGCGGGCCGAGTGACACACAGGCCCTCAGGCTCCGGTCTGCGCCCACGGCCCCCAGTCCCCCCGGGCTGCCCACTTACACTGCCACGGCCACCAGGCTCACGGTGGGGCAAGGGTTCCAGGCAACGCTCCTCACCACACCCCCCACGGGCACGGTCCTCATGCAGCGGGCAGTGGCCACCTCCCAGAGCCGCACCGAGCCATCGTCGGAGCCTGGAAGCAGCAAACAAGGCCCTCTCCAGCTGCGGGGCGCCCCCCAGCCCAGCAGCCCCCCACCCAAGCTGGGAATGCCCCGCCCCAGGCTCACCTGAAGCCAGCCACTGGCCATCCGGGGAGACACTAAGGCAGCGGACAAGGTCGCTGTGGCCCCTGTAGACCTACGGAGGAGAGGCACTGAGGCGACAGACCCCCACCCCGAGGCTCCCCCCGGCCAGGGGCTCCCCCATCTGCTTACCAGGGCCTGGCACGTGGGGAAAGGCTGCAAGTCCCGCGGCCGGGGCAGTTTCGGGATGAGGTCTTCAGGGTCCACATTCACCTGGGACAGGTGAGCACGAGGTCACCCCGCCCCATGTCCTGCGCACAACCCCCCGCCCGGCGCACTGCTCCCCCCCGCACACACACCCTCATCTTGCGCTGCCGCGGGCACAGATAGAGGTCGAGGCAGCGCTCGAAACGCTCCTGGATGAAGCGGCCGTACGCGGGCACGGCCCGCAGGCTGGGGAACTTGTGCGGCAAGAAGTGGAGCTTCCTCTCGCCCGGCTCCTGCTGCTGCCACGCCAGACGCTGCGGGGACAGGGGTGAGCTGGGGCGCGGGGCCAGCCACGGGGGCCCAGACCCCACGCGGTGCAAGGCCCACCTCCTCTTCACTGGGCAGGTACTCGGGAGGCGGGTTGTAGGACTCCGCGTGGCCGGGCAGGGCCAGCTTGGGCGCGGGCACGTGCATCTTGTGCCGGCCCAGCACAGCGTCAGGGTCCTCCTGCGCCCAGAGGTCGTAGAAGCTAGGGGTGCGGTCCCGGGGCCGGTGAGGCTGGATCCAGCCCATCTTGATGGCGTGCACCATGCGAGAGACCTGCAAGGCCAGGGCAGGTCAGTGCGCGTGGGGACGCGGGAGCGAACTCCGGACGCAGATGGCACCTACCTTCTCCTTCTCCACCAGGGACGGGATGAAGCTGCGCTTGTCGGCAGGTCGGTTGGTCACTGGGTGGATCATCAGGTCCCCGCTGAAGAAGTCCACAGCCGGCTGGGGGCACAAGCAGACGTGAGGGCCAGGACCCTGCAGCTGAGCCCCACACCCAGGGCGAGCTGCTGCCACCTACCTCGTACGGATCGAAGCTCCCGTCCCCAAACTGGCCCCGCTGCAGCCGCCGCACCAGGGCCACCTGCTCGTCGGTCAGCCGCACATCATGCCCTGTCATCCGGTCCTGCACCGTGCGCCTGGGGGGCCGGCCGCCCATCAGAGGCAAGCTCGAAGCCCCCCCGCCCCGCCCCACCGGCCCCATCCGAGCCTGCTTACCAGTAATCAGGGTTGTCCATCTTGTCCAGAAACTGGTCCAGCTCGTCACGGGTCCGCAGGGGCTTGTAGATGCGCCTGCCATCCAGATCATAGCCCACGTGGGGGAAGTCAGTGTACCACTCCAGGGGCACATTGCCCACCGTGTTCCGGATGTCCTGGGGCAGCAAGCCAGCGTGTCAGCATCGGGCACCCCCCATGCCCACCCCTCCCTCCAAGCTCCCCAAGAGTCACAGGCAAGGGCGGGGGGGAACCAGCAAGAGCAAATGGATGGGCCTCGAGGCTGGTGGGACGGGACCCGGGCACCCTGAGACATGCCCTCTCCCTGGGGTGTGACGTGGCATGGCGGCCGGTGCTGTCCCCCCCCCCCAACAACTGGCCCTCAGAGGCGCCGGAGCTGTACCTTCACATTTTCCACTGAAGTGGTGCCAACCCCAGAGCCTCCCCCCTGGATTCCTTGGCCAGGACTCTGGGCAGCCACAGACAAGGGTGACCTCATCGCCCATGGGCTCCCTCCCCTGGTGGGGGCCTTAGGCAAAAATGGGTAGCCACAGGCAGGGACTCAGAGAAGACCCCGCCAACCCACTCCAAGGGGAGGTAGAAGCCACTGCGTTCTGCCCTGCAGGCGTTCGAGGACCCCCCTCAGCCCTCCCTGGTCCTGCCCCCCACCCCAGAGCAGCCACATTCCTGGACACACATTCCTGGTCGAGGCCCCGGCCAGCCACCACCCTCCCTCCGCCCAGCACAGAGACTGCTGCCCAGGCGGCCGCTTCCTGAACAGTGGCCACAGGGGGAGGGGCCCAGATGAGACTGAGCACAGCGGGGAGCCTGAGGGCCCCTTGCAGGAGCACAGGACCCCCTGGGCTCTGCCCATCTGCACCTGCCTGCCCCAGTCCTGCCAACTTTCATGCTCCCAGCAGGCCCGTCCTCCGGGGACACCCCCTGTGCCCCTGCCCTTCCTTCTCTGCACATGAGTGGGGGGCCACCCCTGAACTGGACAGACCCTGGAGCATGCAACAAGGGGATGGGGAGGCTGCCCCAGAGCAGGGTCTCAGGCAGAGAGCGCAGCGTGGGCCAGAGCTGGAGGGTATGACTGACACCAGGAGGCTGCGCCACCCGGGGACCCCACGCACAACTCGCGCTGGGGGGCAGCCTGGGACGGTGGGGTGAACTCCAGCCCCCTGGGCTCTGTGCCCCCTCCCCACTCTGCCTGGCACAAAAGGCCCAAGTGTACACAGGAGAGGGAGAGAGAGAGACAAACAGGGTGTGGCCCAGCACCAGCGCCAGGGCATCTGAGTTAACTTGCTCACGCAGGGGGAGAAGACCTGCCTGGGTCACGAGTCCCACCTCACCCTCCTGCCCCCTGCGGAGGCAGAGGGAGAGGGCTGCACAGCCCCGGCACCCGCCGAGGGGATCCCCACTTCCCCACAGCCCCCAGAGACAGCGAGATGCTGCAGGCTCCTTCGGCGTGGCGCGAGAAGGCAGAGGGACGAGGGCCCCTGCTCTGTGCGGCCTCCGGGGGCTGGGAGGCGGGGAGGAGGGCGGGCCGGCGCGGGGGAGGGGCCGCCGCCACTATAAAGGCCCGGCCCGCGGCCCCTCTCCAGCCCGGGACGCACACGTGCGCGCGGCGCCGCAGCCGCCACCGCGGGCCCCCGAGACCCGCGCCTCCCCGGCCCCCGGGCGGCCGCGCGGCTGGCGGCATGCGCTGTGCAAGGCGGAGCTGACGGCGCGCCCGCCGGCCCCATGTCCTTCGCCATGCTGCGCTCGGCGCCGCCCGGCCGCTACCTGTACCCCGAGGTGAGCCCGCTGTCGGAGGACGAGGACCGCGGCAGCGAGAGCTCGGGCTCCGACGAGAAGCCCTGCCGCGTGCACGCAGCGCGCTGCGGCCTCCAGGGCACCCGGAGGCGGGCCGGGGGCAGGCGGGCGGGGGGCGGCGCCCCGGGGCCCGGTGGGCGGCCGGGCCGAGAGCCCCGGCAGCGGCACACAGCGAACGCGCGCGAGCGGGACCGCACCAACAGCGTGAACACGGCCTTCACGGCCCTGCGCACGCTCATCCCCACGGAGCCGGCCGACCGCAAGCTCTCCAAGATCGAGACGCTGCGCCTGGCCTCCAGCTACATCTCGCACCTGGGCAACGTGCTGCTGGTGGGCGAGGCCTGCGGCGACGGGCAGCCGTGCCACTCGGGGCCTGCCTTCTTCCACGCGGCGCGCCCGGGCAGCCCCCCGCCGCCGCCCCCACCGCCCCCCACCCGCGACGGCGAGAACGCCCAGCCCAAACAGATCTGTACCTTCTGCCTCAGCAACCAGAGAAAGTTGGTGAGTGTCGCCCACGGGGCATCCACGGAAAGAGGCGAGGAGGATGTGGCGGCCTCTGCCTCCATACCACCCCAGCCACCCACACCTGCTGGGCAGAGAACGGGGCCAGAGGCCGGCAGAGCAACCCCCCCCTCCCACCAGCAGCACCTGTGATCCAGTGCGCCCAGGGGTCCAGGAGGGGAGGAGCATAAGAAGGCCCCGCTGGAGCAGGCAGGGCTGGGCCTTCCCTGGGCCTTCTCCCCTCGAGTCCCCGGGGACACAGGTGCCCATGGGGACCGAACAGAGCCAGCCAGGGCTACGTGGGAGTCTGGGAAGCAGGGAAGACACCAAACTGGAAGAGGCTGGGGGACCAGACCAGGATTGGTTCAAGAAACTCTGGCCCCCCAACCCTGTCCCCAAAGGAAGGGGACTCGCCCGCCACCCCCCCCATCTGTTTGCCCTGTCAAAGCCCCTGCCACCGGCCCCAGGCCTATTGGGCACCTGCTAGCCCTCCCGTGGCCCTGCCCCAAGCCCCCAGGGCTGCCCACTCAGACCCCCGGGCGGCTGTGGGCTCTGCAGACAGGAGGCTGGCGGGAGATGTGGGGGCTGGGGGAGAGGGCCACGTTGCGGGAGCGCTGGCCGGCTGTGATTTACAGCCCCTGCCGTGCTTGGTGGCACCGGAAAAGCAGGGTGAGCAGGGAGAAAATGCGGCGCGGCTTTTCCCGATCCCCATTTCCTCTCCAGACAGCACGCGTGAGCTCCTGGGGCCTGAACATCTGGGAAATTTAATTTTACAATTTCGGCTGTGCAGCAGTGTACTCTCCTCCCCAAACTGCACGGGGAAGCCGGGGTGAGCGTGGAAGGGGGTGCTTTCAGCACCCGCCACCTGAGACAGCACCCAGTGGGGAAGGCCAGAGGCGCGGGCTGGCGCTGGGTCTGTGGCCAGGCCCTGACACTGCCCCCTCCCCTCTGCAGAGCAAGGACCGAGACAGAAAGACTACGATTCGGAGCTAGAGGTGGACGCCGCTGGGCTATCCACAGGGAGCCCCCGTGGACCTGACTCGGGCACAGGCCTCCTGTGAGGGCGCCCAGCAAGCCAGCCCCGCCTCCGGCTACAGTGGGGCCGACGGACAGACAAGCGTGCAGGAGTCTGCACTGGCCCAGCAGGCCCAGGCCCACCGGAACCTTCTGTGCTGGCTTCCTACCTGGGTTTTCTTCTGGTCACTACGTGCTGGCATCTTGTGTCTTTGATATGATAATATAAAGTCTGGAAACTTTGTATAATTAAAAGCAAAACAGTATCGTCCAACCGTGGAAGCACACAGTTCTCTTGAACGGTTCAGAATCCAGCCTGAGCCCAGCCCCCGTGGTGCTCTCGGAGAGCTCACTGCTCCCACCTTCGGTGCTCCCTGGGCCAGAGGCACCACTTCTCAGGGAAGGCCTCCACCCTCCAGGGGCTGGGCCACCCCTCCCAGGCCTGAGGCAGAGGGTGGCACCTCCTCCTGGCCTGAGGGGCTGAAGGAGACCGGTGAGGGACAGGAAAGGACAGAGGGAGCCCACTGCCACGCAGCAGGGGACCGGCCAGTCCGGTCTCCTCTCCAAGGGCCTGCCCGGCACCCAGGCGTCCCTGAAGGGGTGAGGAGGGCAGAGCTCACAGCACCATCATGCCAAGCCTCAGGGCGTCAGCCTTTGCCTAGAGACCCAAGAAGCAGACGCTTGGGGGAGGTGGAGTGAGGGGCGCTGCCCGGCACAGCAGGTTTCCAAGCCTGGGTGGGCCTAAGGGTCCAGGCCAGATGGCAGCCACCTGCATTCACCCCTGGGCCCCCAAAAGGGCTATGGGTCCCACCCCTGCTGGGGTGCCCTGGCCCCCCCACCCCTACGAGCTGTAAGAGGAGAGGCGCTCCATGACCCCTGCCCCCTGGCCCTGCGCTCAGCCGCCTGCAGCAGTGCTCACACGGGAAGGAGGGAACCCCGGCTGCCTACTGCTCTGCCCCACCCAGCTCCTCCAAAGGCCCCACCTGCTCGTGAGGAGGGCAATTTCAGGCCCCCGCTCCAAGCTCTGCACAGCTGGCTGACCATTAAAATCCTGCAGGTGACAATTACGGTTTAGCGGCTTGAGCTCGGCTGGCACAGCACAGAAGAAAGGCAGGGGGTGGCCCTCTGTGAGCCACCTCCCCACCCCCCCCACACACCCCCTGCTGGTCAGGCAGGCCAGCAGCCTGACTTCCGGCCAGACCGGGTAGGGAATGGCCGAGGGCGCCAGGTGCTGGCCCTGGGCCCCCCCCAGCCCTCAGCACAGGCTCCAGGGCCCCCACTGACACCCTCCTGGGCCCCCAGGGAGAGGCCAGGTGCCGAGGCCCACGTGGGCACCCCAACAGGGCAGGGCCAGAGCTGCCCCCCTCCTCTGCACAGAGGGGCTCCGGGGAACTGCGAAGCAGGAAGCGGTGGTGTAATTTTGGAGGAAACTCTCAAAGCCAGAGCCATTAAGGGCCAGAGGGGGGGCTGTGTCCACCGTGATAGAAATATAACAGGATAAAAAGACGCCACGGCAGGTTCCATTCAGAAAGAAACCCAACCCCAAATTTCCTTTCCCTAATCCTGCAGGAGCCTACAGCTGGCCAGAAGAAGGAGGGAGAGGGCAAGCCCCCGCCCCGCCCGCCTGCCCGGAGACGTGGGGGTCCAGATGGGGGCTGAGGAAGGCCCTGGGGGAGGTGTCCGGGGGAGGCAGGTGCACCCCAGGGCCTCTGTGCCTGCCTCCCCTGCCTCACTGGTTACGGGGTGACGTTCTATGGGGAGGGTCCGTGGCCCACCTGCCCCTCACCTACTGTAACCACATTGCCACAGCTAAGCCTGGGTGGGGGATGCAAACCTCCCTTACGAAGCCCCCCGCCCAGATGACGAGCACCCGAGTGGGCACCGACCTTATGGTCACGGAGCAATGCGGCAAGAGACAGAATGGGGAGCACGTCCGGCATGAGGCCAGAGGGGAGTGCAGAGGAAGGGACAGCCCCTGGGGCCCCAGGACTGAGGGGGTGTCAGGAGACCCCTGCAGGGCATGCTGCCAGTCTGGGAGGCTGGTAGGAGAGGACCCCGGGGACCCAGCCCATCGGGGCACGGTGTGCACGGGCCAAGTTCTCCGCTGCCGGGCCTGTGACTCCCAACAGTGGCTGCAGCTTGGCCGACTCAGGCCTGGGCAGAGGGCCCGGTGCTCCCTGAGCTGCTCGGTAGCAGCACGGCGGCGGTGAGGGCCTGGCCCGCCAGCCAACAGGAGGGAGCGGAGGGGGCGGGGGAGGAGCACTCCGTCACCCTCCACTGCTCCAGAAATTCAAACCAGACTGGGGGTGGCGGGCTGGCCCGAGCCCGGCGGCCCCACTTGAGTCCACTCGGCTCCTCACAGCCGCTGGGCCGGGGGTGGCAGGTGCTCCCTGCCCACTTCAGGCCCCGCTTCCTTCCCAGAATGCTGGCCTTGCCTTCCGCCAGGAGGGACAAAGACCCAGGGCTCCCCCGTGTGTACACCCCAGAGGCAGCTGGAAAGGAGGGGCCGGGCCCGCGCCCTGGGCCAGCCGCCGCCGCCTCTGTGGGCCAAGCTGGGCTGGAAACACTCTGATGGGCCCCGGCTGTCAGCTCCCTGTCCCCGGCCTGGGGAATGAGCTGCCGGCGGCACCACATGATTCATCACCAGGCCCGAGCCCGCAGGCCAGCCGGCCCCCACCCTGCTCAGCACCTGTGGGCTGCCAGGAAGCACATGTGACCCTGTGGGGGCAAGCACCCCCCGACCCCTCCAGGTCAGGCGCCGAGCTTGGAGGCGCGGGCTGAGGACACAGACACCCCCCATGCTCTCCTGGGGGGCCACTCTGCCCCAAGGACAAGCCTCTGGGATGGGGCCAGCAGGGGTCCCCCACCCCCCAGACTGCACCGGACATAAGCAGCAAGCAACAACTGGCTGATGTGTCGGCTGGGATTTTTCCGCTCTCGACGAGCCCCTCCCCTCCCCCTCCCCAAAGTGGCTGCAGCTGTCAGGACCGCAGATTGGAACTGCAGGTACGGCGCTGGCCTGCTGCCCACCTCCCTCCCGTGTCTGTCTGCGAGGGAGGAAGCCGGCCCACCTCTGGAATCCTTCACTCTCTCCTCGTTCTGCCTCTCCCACCTGTCCCCTGGGAGCGTGGGGTCAGCCGCCCTCGCTCAGGCTCTCTCTTTTCCCTTGCCCCTCTCCGATTACAATGCCGGCAGTGTTCGCTCAGCCCCCTGCACGAAGCTCCCGCCTGTCTCCGAGCGCCACTCAGCCTTCCTGAGCCTCAGCCTCTCCTCGATCCTCCACCGTGTTTAATCTCTGTCACAGGACCGGGCAGGGGGAGGCTGGGCCGTGTGCCCCAGGCTCACCTGCTGCATCTGAACCCAAAGAAGGTTCCAGCAGGATGAGTACTGGTTCACAGACCAAAGGGGAGAAAGCCAGGTCCTACTTGGCCTCTTCCTGCCTCACAGGCCAAAGCCAGGTGAGGAGACTCCAGCAGGAGACCGGGCCAAAAGCAGAGGCCATGGACCAGCTGGATGGGCCAGGGGGACCAAGTGGGGAGCTCGGAGCCACCTTCCCAAACCTCCTCCATCAGACCGCCATTTCCACTTGCTGACTCAGGTAGCAGGACACCTCTGCGGCAGCCGGCCCAGACACCACCACCTCCCTCTGTCCATCCCTCTCGGAAGTGCCGCCAGCCAGGCCCAGCGGAGCCTCCCAGGTGTGCGGGCCCAGGACCCCTCTGAGACCACTGCTTGGCCCCCCACCAATCCCTCCATGGCTTGGAGGTAGCAAGTCCACCCTCCATGGGGTCCATGGGAAGGGGAGGGTGCACCGAGGCTGCCCTAGCTCCCAGGCCCTCAGATCCCTGGCCCCCACCCACCCTGGGGGTCCCCTGACTCTGCAGTCCTGGGTGCGGGCACAGGCTCATGGCCCCCCTGCGGAGTGGAAGAGACCTGTTCTGAGACCCACACTTCAAACACAGAGCTGCTGCTGCTTGAGTTGGGCCTGGCCCCAGCTCTGCACACCTGCCCGCATCCCCATGCCCAGTGCTCCAGAATCTCACTCTGGAGGACTCACCTCAGCCCCTGCCTGTGGCCCCGTCCCCAGCCCACTCTGCAGTCCCCTCACCCACCTTCCTACAGAACTTGCCCCACTACCAGCCACACCTCCAGCCCCAGGGCAAGCCCTCCTCCCTCAGGAGGCCCCTGTCCCCGCACTCTCCCACCGCCCTGCGTGGCTGGGTTCCTACTGCCAAGGAAACGCTCCCAGTGGGCACACGAAGCAAGCTAGAGCCTCACCACCCACGTGCCCCAGCACCGAGAGACCGTGCTCTGTCCCAGAACGCGCACGATGCCCCTTTTCCACCACTGCACCCCCCCGACCCCCCCTGCCCTCCCCAGGGGGAGCCCTCTCTCCCGACTAGGGAGGAGCCCCAGGCCAGCACAGCGCAGGGGTGCAGCACTGGCAGGAGGAGGGCGTGCCTCCTGCCCCAAGCGCCGCAGGCCTGGCTCAGAGGTGGAGCCCCACAGCGGCACCGAGGGGCACTGTGCGGTCACAGGCGCCACGCCCACGGCGCCCCGCGGCCACCTGCAAGGCCGTGGGTCAGGCCAGTGGGAAGGGACAGACTCGCAGGCCGGCTGTGGGGGTGGAAGGCCCACACGAGCAGGCTGAGCGCCTGAGCGCCCGGCGCTCTCCACAAACAGCTCGAAACCCGAGCCGACAGGCTCCCGCTGACGCAAGCGCTCTGAGTGCGCGGGCGGCCAGGATGGGCGGGGCGGCGGCCCCGGGAGGAGCGGGAGGCCGCCAGCACTGGAGGCAGCTGCCGGTTCAGTAGCTGGGAGAAGCCATTAACGGCCGTTTGGCGAGAGAGCAGAGGGGATCGCGGGCTCTGGATACAGACGGGCCTGGGCCGTCCCTGCGGGATCCCAAGTTACCGCGAGGCCAGGGCGCCGTGGCGCCGGCCAGGGCCGCAGCGCCGCCCCCTGCCCCCAGCAGAGGTCCTGCAGGGGACAGGAGGGTGTCGGGCCCAGGGGTTCAGCGACTTGCAGGACGGGGGAGGATGCCTCCCAGCCTCTGTGGCCAGAGTTCATAGCCACCCCTCACCTCTCACCTCCTGCCGGCCTCAGTTTCTCCCAGCTGCTTGAAACAAAGAGGGGCGGGAGGCTGTGAAGGCTGCCAGCCCCCTCCCCCCACCCCGCCCCACCTCCCCGGGGTCCGGAGGCTGGATGAGATCACGTCTGTGAGGTGCCGGTGCCGTGGGAGAGGAGTGGGGTGGACACAGCCTGCGGCTGCTCAGGACTCCCTCCGCCCCAGGACCCCCGCCAGACCCAGCAGCACATCCAGGGGACCTGGGCCCCAGTGCAGCTTGGGATGTGAATTTGGGGACTGAGAAGGGCAAATGTATGGGAACAGGGCCCAGAATACCCACGAAGGTAGAATGTCACTCATCAGTCAACGTCTGGGATGGGGGGTTCCCCAAAGCCAGGCCCAGCAGAGGCCAGCAGTCAGAGGGTCCAGAAGCCCCAGCATCCCCCAGCTCAGGCCTCAGATCCAGACCCAGGGAGTGGGCAGGGCAGGGTCCAGGGGAAGGGAGGCTAGGTGGCACTTCCACCCCACCCTCAGGCCTCCACGCCGCAGCGTCCATGAAGGTTGTCTCTCCCAGGAGCACCAACCCTGTCAGGACACCTCTGCTGCTGGCCAGGGCCTTACGTGGGGTCCAGACACCACTGGCCACTCCCAAGGACACTGCTGGGAGAACGGACTCTGCCCTGACACCGCAGGTGTCCCCAGACTGTGGGCCCTCGGCAAAAAACCACGGCAAGCCACGGGGCACACCGGCCTCCGAGCCCCACGCTCCACACCAGGTACCCAGTGGGGCCACTTGCCGCCCGGGCCCTGGGGCCTCTTCCCCAAAGCCCAGCGCGCTTTGCTTGGATTGCAAAGACACCCACGACGTCAGGGTGGAAGAGACCGGTGCCCACGTGCCCCCGATCACCCCAGGCCCACGTGCTGCTCAGGGCAGGGAAGCATCTGTCGGCCTGGCGAGCTCCTGAAAGATGAGCCCCTTCGGGCCGCGGGCCGGCTGTGCTGGCAGAAGCTCGGGGAGGCGGGCACCAGGGCCCCCTCCTGTCACTCGGACATATGGGATAGTCATTGCCAGAGGAAGCGGCCCCCGCAGCCCCCACTGCGGCTCCAGGCCAGGCCGGGCGGCCGGGAGGAGCGCCTCCCCGTGGGCAGGCCCAGGCCCCTCCCCCGCCTCTGCACTCCATTTACAACCATCATCGATTTCTCAAAATACCAAATATAAAAAAGTAGCCGACAGGATGTGGCTGCCGACAGCCAGAGCCCCTGGGAGGGGGGAGACAGGCAGGGAGCCGCACTGCGCCGGCCCCCCTCACCGTGTGCGCCCGCTGCTCCGGCCAGGAAACCAATTTATTTTGTTTTGTCTCTGTTCTCTGAACGCACAGAGACCAGATCGGGCGGGCAGCCAAGGCTCCTGCAGCCGCTGCCAAGAGAGCGTGAGCACGGGGGCGGAGGCCAAACAGGGGAGGGGGCGCGTGCCTCCCCAGGCCCCGGGACAGCCCCCGACAGGCGGCAGGAAGAACTCTGGAGGACGGCCGTCCCTGCGAGGCCCGCACCAACGCAGCCGTTCTCCTCCAGCCCCGAGGCCCGTGGCCCAAGGAGGCACCTGGGCGCACACCACGGCGCGGGGGCCACAGCCCTGCCAGCGACTGGGACACACCTGGGAGGGGACAGGCAGGAGGAGACAGCCACCTCGGGGCTCAGAGCTCCTCAGCTTCCAGCCCTCCCAAAGCAGGCAGGCCCAGGTAGCAGAGACACGGCCTCTGGCCCACACACCGGGGCGTCTGGATGCCAGATGGGGCACTCCTGGCCCACCACCATGCTTGTCCCTTCAGACCCTAAACTTGAGGGGACACCTGGGATTCACTGGGGCCCACATCAGTCCAAGGGAGGGAAGGGACAGATCGCCCAGAGGCCACCCACCTCCCGCACGAGGCTGCCAGGCGACGCCGCTCGGGCCTGTCACCCCGGGGGGCCCAGCACAGGCCAGCGGGCGTACGGAAGCCAGCCCTGCCCCAGCCTCTCCGTGCCCACCAAGAGCACGAGCGCAGCCTCCACAGAGCACGAGGGACCCCAGTATCAGCCGGCCGTCCCACAGACACGCGCGGGGGTTCACCATGTCACGTCCACCCCACTTCCTTCCCGAGCAATGACACACAGTCCAGCAGACATGTATCCCCAACCCCGAAATTGCCCTTCCGGACCACAAGCACGGCCCCTCACGGCGGCCCGACTCCTCTGCACCCAGGGCAGCACAGCCCAGCTGGGGAAGGCGCCCCCCACCCCTCGTGGGAGAGCAAGCCCAGCCCCACCTCCTCGTCAGAGCTGTCCTCCGCATACTCTTCACAGCCCTGCACTCTCGCCACCTCTGTCCTTGGGGAAGGGCTCCCAGCCTGTAAGAGAGAAGGGGACAACGGTTATGTCAGGACACTGACGCCCTCTGACCTCGGGCAGAGCCCACGCCCGCAGTCCCCTGCCCCCTCCTTGATGGTGGCGGCTCAGGAAGAACAAACTGTCCGTCCTGCTGGTGCTGAGGCCAAGCCTCCCGCCGCCCCCAATCTCTAAGCAGCTCCAACCTGGCCCTGGGCCTTAAGACAAGACCAGTGACACCCCAGGTCTCCGTGGGCCTCTTGGGCCCCACCCGAGGTCCTCTGTCAAGGGCCAGATTCATCGCCGTGTGCCAGCTCCGAGGAAGGACCCCAGGGAAGGGCTGACACCTGTACCAGACGGGAACAGGAACACTCAGCAAGGAAGCCACCAGCTGAGGGCCCAGCCGCCCCCGCACCCTCTAACGAAGAAACCGGCTGCAGGGCTCCTGGCCCAACGGCCCATACCCAGCCCTGCCAGGCCTAGGAGAGCCCAGGGTCGGGGAGCAAAGTGGGGGTGGCCACTTGGTGGCAGCAGGGAAGGGCGGGGCAGGGCCCACACCTGGGCCGGGCCGTCTGGAGGAGGGCGTGTGCACCTGCCGTCAGCCACGGTGGCAGGACCCTTCCCCCAGGAGGCCCCGGCGTCAGGCCAGTCGGCCAAGGGCCCAGAGAGGCACCCCTAACCTACAGAATGCCGGGAGGATACAGCCCCCAGGCCAACCCCAACCCACCAGGTCAGAGAGTGGGTGCCCCCGAACATTCACACCCTAACCTGGAAAAGAGATTCTTCCCTCAGAGGGTGGGGGAATCGGGTGTACCGGAACCGGGACTGATGGGGAAAACAGCCCCACCTCTCACTCCCGGGCGCAGTAAAGTACTCGGGAGCAGGGGCCCCTGAGCGAGGCGCCCCCGCCAGAGCCCCACTCCCCTGACCGGGCAGGAGCCAGAGGCCTGTGAGGTGGCTCTTCCTCTTGCCTGTTTTTTCCCTCAGTATAAGGAGGGTGGGAGACTAAGTTTTTTTCCAGGCCAGGAACACGGCGGGATTCGGTTTCCATGTCTCCCCCACCCCCGCTCCTCATGCTGCACGCACTGTGGGAGCCCTGCCCGCTGAAAGTGGGTCAGCACAGCCCGATGGGTGCAGGGCGCGGTGGGGGGCGAGGAGGGCGAGCCCCGACCAGGGCTCCGACCAGGGCTCCAAGCTCTCCTCCATCCTTGCCCACAGCAGCGACCAGTGGACACACCTGCCCCAGGCCCGGGGCCAGGCAACAAGTCTCCTCAGCAAGCGCCCCTGACGCCGGGCCAGGGCCGGCTGATCCACGGTGCCGGCCTCCGGCCAGACTCCGCAGCTGCCCACGGCACCAGCCCCCCCGACGCTCTCCACCAGCACTGAGCTCCGGAGAGTCCCACGCCGCCTGTGCCTCGGGCCACGGTCACGGGGTCCCAACAGGAAGTGTCACGGCCCCTCGTCCGCCAGGACACCCCACATCGCCCGTGCTGGGTGTGGCCGGCCCCCGGGGACGGCATGCAGGCGCAAGGAGCCAGAGACAGGCAGGCCCCCCGACAAGGGGGGCCCCCCAGCGGAGCAGCTCCAAGTCCCCACACAGAAGAGCTGGCCCCCAGGCCCCCCTTGGTCTCCCTCCAGAAGTGCCGCTGCAGGGGACATGGTGGCCGCCAGGGGGCAGCAGAGCGCGGGCACGCGCGGCTGCAGGGACCAGGGGAGGCTCAGGGAGCGGCGCACACCTGTGGACACGACACCTGTGGACACGACACCTGTGGACACGACACCTGTGGACACACTTGGCCGTGGTTGGGCACTGGGCATTTAAACAGGACGTGAAACACACAAGGGGAACACATCTTGTTTCTCTGCCCACCCAAGACCATAATTAACACCATGAGGACCAAAGCAGGGGCCCCCAGGGGGCTCTGCCTCGATGGCATCGCAACTGCTAGAGACCCCCTGGCGGCCAGCATCAGACCCAGCCCAGCCACACCCCACCGCCACCCGGCACGTGACGGCTCGGCTCCTCCAGCTTCTCAACAAGCGGGACCCCGACAGCCCCCGCGGTGACGCAGACGAGGGCAGCCAGGCTGGAACTCGGCTCCCTGCATGGCCCTCCTGTGGGGTGAGAGACGCAGAGGACAGCAGGGCAACAGCGGCCCCCACGCCCTGAAGGTCCGTGGGAGGTGCGCCAGGCTTGTGTGCGTCCCCGACACCCGGGAGCAAAGGTAAATCCAGGCTGCGGCGGGTAACGTGCGTTCTCGGGGATCTGGGGTGTAGCACAAACACGAATGAGCACGACTGAGGGTCCACAGGGTTCCCGCCTGCCGCAGACCCCGCAGGGCGGCCAGCAGTGCTGCTAACAGTGCTGCTAAGCCTCCTCGGGGAGCCCAGGACCCCGAACGGCAGGTATCAGCGAGCCCTGCGCACCGGCTCATCTGACAAGAGACGCAGACGGATACTGAGCAGACACGCACAGCCTCCAAAGGGTATACGCTGCTGGGCCTGAAAAGACCAGGGGCAACACAAAGGGAAACTCCCCCTCGTTCCTGAGGGAAAAGGCACATGACTCGCTGGAGGGCCGGGAGCCCGAGCCGGCCCTGCACAAGGAAACGGCTGCTTACACCAGAGACCACTCTGTGCTCCCCGCCTCCCCATTTACAACAGACGAGTTTAACGGGACTCGACGCCACCACGGCAAATGGCTGTGTGGGGACGAGGCCCATGACTCGCACCAGCTCCAGGCCTGATTCACACGAGCCGCTCGCGCTGGGCGTGGCGATAGGATAAGGTGGGGGGGCGTTTTGTACACAGCGGCTGTTTCATTATTTTCTTTTAAATTTCTTGATTTGGGGGCACCTGGGGGGCTCAGTCAGTGAAGCATCTGCCTTTGGCTCAGGTCATGATCCCAGGGTCCTGGGATCGAGCCCCGCATCGGGCTCCCTGCTCAGCGGGGAGTCTGCTTCTCCCTCTTCCCCCACAGTTCATAGTCTCTCTCTTGCTCTCTGTCAAATAAATAAAACGCTTAAATATTTCTTTATTTGAGAGAGAGAGAGAGAGTACGCGCACATGCATGTGGGGCAGAGGCAGAGGGAGAAGCAGACTGAACAGGGAGCCCGATGCGGGGCTGGATCCCAGGACCCTGAGACCATCACCTGAGCAGAAGGCAGATGCTTCATTGGCTGAGCCACTCAGCACCCTGGGAAAGAGAGTCTTAGGCAGAGTCTGAACTGAGTGTGGAGCCCAATGTGGGACTCCATCTCACGACCCTGAGACCATGACCTGAGCCAAGACAGAGTTGGGACACTTGAGCGACTGAACCACCTGGATGCCCCGGACTGTTGCTATTTCAAACCATGGCTACAAATCTTTGACTCTCCTCCCATCGAGGGCAGAGGCCGTATGCCCGCCCCCGGTCCAGGTGGGTTCCTGGCAGGCTCACCTGTCCAGGGAAAGCAGCCCAGACCGACGACGTGGGAACTCAGAGTCTGCAGCTGTGCTCTGGAGCCCTGAGCCCTCTGGACGAGGACAAGCCCAGCAAGTGCCAACCATGTCGCAGCCTGGACAGATGAGTAAAGAGACCCCCGCTGTTCTTCCTTAGGACCCTCACCTGAGCCCCAAAACACGAGGTGTGATGAGTGATGACTGTCCTAGAGCAGAACCCTGCAGGGGCACAGGAAATGGTGACGTGTTCCGAGTGCGCAGCCTAATTCTCAGGCGGGGCCCAGCTGAAGGCAGCAGTGGGTCACCCCAGACATGACACCACCTCACCCTGCCTGAACACTGATCCCCAGAAATGAGAGTGCTGTAAAATGGCTGTCTGATGCTCAAGGCATTGGGATGGACTGTGGAACGGCTGCCTACCTCCCCCCATGGGAACCAATCCCACCCCAGCCGCTGGCTCACGTCCTTAGCTCTCCCGGTGGTCCCCAGGCACTTCCCAGCTGAGGTGAGCTCTGTTAACCAGCTGGTGAGACTACCTGGGGGTGCCCGCCTTGCAGTACCCCACAAGCCACAGCGCCCACATCACACCCCACCAGTGCCCACGCCTGGACCCCAGCGTGGGCAGCACCACCGCGGCCCGGGCCCATCGGAGGACGCAGGGAAGTGAGGACCCTCCTGCCCACTGAGAGGCCCTGGTGAGCGGGAAGCACAGGTGGGTGTGCTGGGATGGGGGAGCCTAAGGTCGAATCCCCCCCCCACCGCTCCTGAGGGTGAAGGCAGGAGGGGCGCCGGCAGCGCAGCATGGGGGGGCACAGCTCCTCTCCAGCCTCCTTCGGGGAGGTGTGTGCAGAGGGCTCAGTGTGAGGGGCAGGGGCCGCAAAGTGTGCCCCAGGAGACCAGCCTGGTAGACAGGGACTCAGGTCAACAAGGTCGTGGAGCACCAGGACAGGTGAGCGGGCAGCCGGTCCTGAGAGGACCCGGAGACAGGGGTGGGTGCTCTAAGTGGAGGCAAATGGAGTAAGCGGACACGAGAAGTCTCTCCAGCGGAGAAGCACAGCAGTATCCCGCGCCCAAAACTCCATGCATCAGAACAAGCTAATCTGCCGGTTGCGAGCAGCCTGCGTCCACGGACCTCCCTGCGAATGCCCTGAGCCCCGAGACAAGACCTCCGTGGAGGAAGATGGGGACCCCACGGCCCCACCCTCCCGAGCACCTACCAACCCCCCAAATACAGTGCTCTTCCTCCCTTGAGCTCCTCCAGCCCCTGCCAGCACCCTGAAAGTACATCAGCCCGCCTGCGTCCCTGACTCCCAGAACCAGTGAGAACACGAGTTACTGTCCCGCCGCTAGGCATGGGGCTACTCGGTTACATGACAACAGATAAGGGAGACAAGGAGAGACAAAATGGCACCTGGCGCCACAGACGGGAGACCTCAGCCCAGCGGAACGGAAAGGACCCTGGTGGTCCTGACCCCCTACGTGCGGGCCGGGCAAATGCACAGCTGCTCCCACCAAGGGCCGCCGACCAAAGAAACTTCTGAGATCAGGGGAAGGAAACTGAGGGTCAGGGAACAAAGGGGGT